CTGGCCGTCCATCGCGATCCCCATCGGCAGCATGCAAGCATTACTGTCACGCCATCCTGCGCCATGGACGGAAATGTCTTTCCCCTTGTGCTCGTAGACGACCAGGTCACTATCATTGCAGGTGTGCGCGACATCAAAGACAGTGAAAGCCAGGTGTCAGACATTTCAGGCCTCGTTGACCCGTTTCACCTTGTGTTTGAAAAGTTGCCTCGCTCCTCAGTGGATGTGTGCGGTTGGCAATGCATGTGTGTCCTTGCCGCAGATTTTCGATTGGTTTAGCAGTCGTGCAAGCCCGTATTGCTGCTATGAACCCCCAGTATTTCGAGTACCAGATCGATAGAGGAGTGGAATGGATTCGAATTTACTCTCCGGGCATTTGGAGGCCCGTTCCTGAGGAGGCGCCAGTTCCGGACCCACTTTACGCTTCCACGTTTCGGGAGTGGCGCAGATCATATCACTTCCAGGTGTACTGGTCTGAAGACAGCACCGGAGGCACCACAATGGATCCTATTGCCACGCCCAGTTCCTATGTGTCCTATCACGTGTGGGAGTACCGAGACTGGCAAACGCGAGGGTACCAACGACTTGGACCTCCTGTCCAATCCATCGGACTCGCGATGCTCGCCAATGCAGACATCGAGTCCTCGGTGGGCTCGTCGGTACCGGATGGAGCGTGGCGGGAACCGTCACCGCCACCATTCCATGATCCTTGGAATGACTCGGATTGACACTTGAGTAGCATGTTGGATAAAGATGCGGTTGTGCGTGCTTTGTATGTGAGTTCTCATTGGGTTGTCTTGCTTGGTGCTGTGCATGTCGTCTCTATGTGTCCGCCGCTTTCCGTGATAACTTTGAGCAGCTTGTCGGGTTGAAATGTTCAATAGTACGGTGCAGGGTGCAGCACGATGGGTCCTACCTCGCTATTTTGACTATGACATCGTCAATGGGCCAGCAGGAACGAGGGTGGAATGGATTCGAATCTATGTACCGGGTCAGTGGCATCCAGTAGCCCCTGACACCCTGGGACCGGCCCCGGATGACCCGACCGCCTATCGGGAATGGCGCAAGGTCTACCACTTCGAAGTGTACTGGCCCAGGGAAAGCACGGGCGGCACAACTATAGGCACGGCGCTGCAACCGGTATCCTACGCCACCTTCTACACTTGGTATTACAGGGACTGGGTCACCAGGGGGTACCAACGCCTGGGTCGTCCACATCCCAGCATAGCGAGGCCAGTTTTCGCTTCGGGTGCACCGGACCTCATGTATGCTGGAATGACCTCCTCCTCGGCATCATCTAATTCACATGATAGCTGATGCCCGTCCTCGCCTCCCTGGAGAGTCTGACTGTGATGTTGGCGCCGCACAGTGCTACAAAAGTGGTCTTTTGCATTTTGATAGTTGATTTGCTTTCACTCGTTGTTGTCTGCAGCCGTACACCTATCAACTTGTCTTTCCGTGGTTGCGTTGTCATGGCGTGGCTGGAATGGTGCCCGGACCCTCAACAACCAGATGCCCAGTGGGTCAAAATCTTTCATCCGGGACCATGGACGCCTCAAGAAGAACATGATGCTCCACCTCCTCCGCATACTTTTAGAGAATGGCGGGAGTTCTATGCTCCCAACCAGGACTCAGTCGAAGGGCAAGTCCAAGTCACTACGTGGTACAAACGAGACTGGGCCACAGAGGGCTATCGGAGAATCGCTGCTCCTCACGCTGGTCATGAATTTGATTCCATGTATCCCTCCGATCACCACAGCGTGGCCACGCAGTCTGCGGCATTGAGTATGTCGCCGGAGCTGTTAGACGCGATTCTCAGGTCCTCGGATGCGGCTGATTTCTCCACTGAAGAACTGACTCGTCTCCAGGAGGGGATTTCTCAACAACTGACGGCCCGCGCACGTCTGGCCTCCCATCCTCATCAACCAGTACGTGCATCGCGTGGAAACACACCATCGGAGACGATTGGGGTCTCCGACCCCTACAGGCCCGTGAATCCGTCCGACAGCCGCCAAGACAAGATGAGGCCCGTCTTCGAGCTGACTGAAGACTAGCCTTGCATGAGCAGCGCAGCGTACAAAATAAGGGTGGCCTCTACACTTGCATGATCTTGCTTTGCTGTTGTTTGAACATGGTTGTGCATGGTGCTTGTTCATATACTAGCTGGATCGGAGCCCGCGACCATCCTTGCCTCTTGCCTCGACATGGACATGGGTGCGGATATACACTCCGGGACAACCTCAACGATGGCACCGTGGTGACGCCGTACCTGATCTACCTGAAAATTCTTTTCGTGAATGGCAGCGGGTGACGGATCCCGAAGCGCCAGTCCAGGCATGGGACATCCGTGACTGGCAACACCAAGGGTACCAGCGCATTCTGTCTCGGATTGAGTCCTTCGCAACTCACTATTCACATGATCAGACTCTTGGTCAAGGTCGAAACTCCGATGCCGTTCAAGTTGAGGAGACCTTCACCTATGCCACTCCGTTTTCTCATGGTGATCGCCCGGCTGCTTCGCAGATCGCTTCAGTCCTCTATGGCGACACTCGCAATGCTCAACGTTGTGATCTTTCGTTCCCGTCTTCTGAGCGGTTTAGGGCAGTGTCTCGCTCCCCTCGCCGTGGAGGATATTTTGGTCAACGATAGAGATTTGAGTTTGAGCATGTGATCTTCCTGCTGGAGAAAAGAGAAACCTCGCCCCTCGTAGAGGGGCGTGTGTGTGCGGAGTGGCAGAAAACCCTGCCACCACAACCGTTTTCTGTTGCAGCAGGGGGGCAACGGACACTCTGGGTCGCGTTGCCCAACGAAGACCGTCCAGAGTTGTCGTGAAGCAACACGGGACGCCGTGCTGTGTACCTGCAACATTTGCGTGATTCTGAAAGTCTATTTGGCCCTCTCCTTTCGCTCGCTGTGTGTGCTTCATGTTGGAACTGGTAACGTTTTCGACACTAGAGTGAAACCGAGTGCATTGCGAGCCGAACCTCACCCACTCGAGACTCATCAGTTGTACTCGAGACTCATCAGTTGTACTCGAAAGATTAGCACTCTCCATTTGGAGTTTAAGTGTGTGTGTGTGTGTGTGAACATACCGTGGGAGGACGAAATCCATTTCGCACCACCTAAGAAGTCCTAGAATGATGATTCCCCCGTCAATGCTAACAAACAAATGGCTTCCCATGGCTTCAAAGTGGTGCTGGATTTCGTCCATCCACAGTAGGGAAGCTCAAGAAGTGGATTTTTCGGAAGATTTTGTTTAGTGTCCATTGAAACCAACCAGCAGGCACCCTCCAAAAAGCACAAACCCAGAAACATCATCGGCCCCAACTCAGATCCCGAAGGCGGATCTGCGTCCCATGGGCTAAAGAAACGCCCATTCCGGAAGTGTCAACTGTCAATTGCATAACTGTTCTTCCCGTTGAACAGGGCGCCACAGAAACTTGCACCGCCGCAACTCCTTCGATTTGACGAAGCTGAGACTCGTCGACTAGCCTCCTGGAGGCCATGCGCACCCGGACAATCCAGCACCATGCTCTGGTTGGGCTTGGGGGGGCTGGGGGTGGCGGGGGGTCGACGGGGAGGGGGGCGCAGTCTGGGGGGGGCCTGGGATCTTCAGTGCTCAAAGTTACTTGGGTGGGAGAAAAACAATTCAAGAAACACATCAAAGTTGATTGAGCGAGAAGAAAAAACACTCGGCTCTATAAATATATATATATATATATATGCATTGCTTCCTGCACATGCTCGGGATACTTTTGAGATATGGCAAAAAATCCATGCGGGGCGTTCGAATGCCTCGGGCTGCTCTTCACGCCGGCCGCATCCTCTTATGACATGAGCCAAAGGCTGCACCAAGAACCCGCCCCTTTTCACATGGAACCGTTCGACGTTCGGGGCTCGGTCCCTTTAAAAGGAAAATGGTCCAAACATGTCCAAACCAGGATGCCCTGAACGTCAAGCTCCATGTTAATTGGTGCGGGGGGGGGGGGGCGTACAACTTTCAAAAAGAATGACAAGGACCCGAATTGGATTGGTTGACCCAAACCGGAGGGTGACCCCAACCATGGTGGTGAAATATGGTGGTGGTGAAATTTGACCACCCCAACCATGGTTTTAGCGGTGGCCTGCAACTGAATTTGAGGGCAGCACAAATTCGGCTGAGAAGATTGCGACAGGGCTGCATGAGTTTGAGACTCGGGCCAGAGGAGGCTTTTTGGGGAAGGTGACACCCTCTGGGCGCAGTTGCAGGCCACTGTTCTAGGGGTTGATTCCCCATTCTTTCCAACCATCGTTCTTTTCAAAAACCAGCCATGTTCCCAGTGAGGAAGGCACCAGAACTGTTCCAACCAAGGGGGAATATTTTTTGTTCGACTGCTGCCATGCTCTGAAGGTATCCCTGGGGTTCTTGGTTGTTCAGGCCACCATGAAAACTGAAGTTGAAGGAATCAGGACCCGGCCATTCCTATGGGGGTTGAAGGAACCCTATGTCTCATTGAGCCCATCCTAGTAACTACTTACCTAACAATTGTCACGGAAATTGTGGCCGCTTGGGCCGTTTTTTTTTTTAAAATTGGGGCAAGGAACCCCAGGGCCTATTGAGGGCTTGAAAATCAGGCCTACGGCGACGAAGTCCCTACATGGGAGCTCACCTCAACTCAGCCCAAAAGGTGACGTTGAACGAACCTTGGGCAAACATGGGGCGGCGAAATAGGGATTCGGACCCCCAAAACGGTGGTGTGTTCACTTTGGTTTCCCGTAAACCCCAAGAAAGGTGAGCCACAAAGGATACATCCATATGAGCCACGGACAAAAAACACTAACACTTGGTGCAGTCGGGCAGGCCCTCCTTTGACGACAAAATACCGGAATTTGGGTGGGCCCCCCATGTCCTCTCCAAATGAACAGCCTACTACAAGCAAATTCCAACAAGGTCTCGACACCCCCCCCCCCCAACAGCAGCAGCCCTCGACTCGACTCGACTGGACGGCTCGCTCGCTCGCCTTCGCCAGGTCCTCGGAGTTGGCCACGGCGAGCTCCGTGACGCCCTCCAGGCGCTGGCCGATGCTGCCGTCCGCCTGGCGGAGGCGCCGGAGGCACTCGAGGCGCCGGAGGCCACTCGACTCCAACCGCGCCGAGCTTCTTCAAGGCTTCAGGGACCGGCCCCATGAAAATAGGGGCTTGTTTTTGTGACTATAACAGGTCTATTGGGGGCCAGGGGATTCGTTTTGGGGGACCATTCGTAGGACCCCTCTTTGAACTTGGGGGAGGCCTTGACAAACATAGGACCGCTGCAAACTGGGGAGATCTGGATCGCTTTCCGGGGGTCGAAGAACACAAAGCAGAACACGCCAGTCCAAAAAATGGCCCAAGGCTTCAACCGAAAAGGACCTGGTTGGATGTCTTCAAGTAAGGGACCGAAAGGGACAGGTGGCTTCTCTGGGTTGCCCGATAAACTACAACACCTCCAGAAAAAGGTCCCCAATTTTTTGAGGCGGACCCCGCATGGGTCAAAAAAAAATTAAAAAAAATGCAAGTAGGGGCTCTGTGGCCTGGAAAAAGGACCATGACGTACCTTCCCAAGGCCCCTTCTCGACTTTCGTCATGGGAGTTGGCAACCTGATCACGGTCAAAAGGGGAAACCAAAAGGGAAAAGCACAATTTTGGGGTATCCCTCCACAAAAGACACAATGGCTTGCTTTATGTTTTTGCGGTGGGAAGCTGTGTTTACATGCCGCTTGATATCCTGGGCGGATAAAATGCAATTTGGGGCCCTTTGGTGGACGTCATTTACATGGAGATGTATGTCCACCAATGGTCCAAGCTGGGAAATGTGGCAAAAACTCATAGCCCCACCAACCATGGAAGCGCGTGCACCCCTTTAAGACGATGCTCCAAAAGAAAGGGGAGGGGTTCTGTGCAGAATATGGCTTGCACCCAAAGGAAGCTTCAGTTCGTTCCTTTAAAGCAACCCAACAAAAAGAGGTGCCGTCAAAAAGACGCACCCCCAAATAGGCGAATAAGTGGCATTGTGTTGTTTGTTCCAGCTTGACATTGCTGGTCGATATTCATGAGTTGCGTGCCCTGAAAGGCAACCCTCACATAGAGACATCCTCAAAAAAATCGCCCATTTTTCTCCAGGCGGCTTCAAGAAGTGTCCCACTCCCCAAGCACCGGCCGTGTGCAAAAAAAGAGACCCGTCCAACAAAACTGGCCATGGGTCAAAATCCCGTACCCCCAGTGAACATCCCAATCCCCACTAAAATAAAGCCTAAAATGGGTGGTGCACGTGCAGCTACCAACCAAAATGGGATCCCAAAACGGTTTTGACAACACCACAGCCCCAAAAACAAAAAGAGAGACCAACCACAACCACAACCACAGCCAAAAAACAGAGAAAAAAGAAGAAGAAGAAGAAGAAGAAGAAAAAGAAGAAAAAAAACGCCGGCCCCCGGCCAAAAGGCCCAAAGGCCCAGCAAGGCGCCTGGCGGTAGGGCTTGAAGTCCAGCTTCGGAGGCTCCTGGTTTTGATGGCGTGGCCGGGGTGGCGAAGCGGGCGGTCAACCGGCTTTGGATGGGGGAAGGCCCCCAGAGTTGGGCCAAAAGGCCGGAGGTGCGGTGTGTGTTTTCTCCTCTTTCTTGCTGCTGTTCTTCGTTTTTTCGATGCGGGAAGCTCCCCAAAACTTGGGATATGACTCCGATGGTTCTAGTCCGAAGCGGTGGTCCGCTTACCAAAAGCAGTCTAATCACACAAAAAATGGCCCCTGCCATAGGAAAGTTGGGCCAGCTTTCGGGCCGGAACGGAGTCAATCCTTGCCTGGAAGATCACCTTGGGATCTTGGGGCCCCAAGTCGTAGGATGAAGGATTGCCTTTGAGCCCAGTTTACGTAAAGGGGCGATCGGGTACTTAGTAAGTGGTTAGTAAGCCTGGTTATAAAACCCACTGAACGGAGACTTATCACCATGGCTTTTTCGTGAGCGAACCACCTGGCTTGCTAACCACTTACTAAGTACCCTGCCTTTAAGTAGAGGACCTAATCAGACTTTGGGATGCTTTCAGAACCCAGTCGGACCAAAAGCATATCCCAAGTGACTCGTTGGCCCTCAGGCAAAGGGCCGACCTAACAGCGACAAAGAATCCGTCCGACGGACTCTTTGACAAGGTCCCACACAGGTATTTCCCCTTCAAAAGGAAACTCTTTCTGATGATAAAACCGCCGTAATAGGGGCAAATATATGGAACCCTGTCTCACAGTCAAAGCAACTTTTGCACGCCCCGACCTGCCTTGTTCTTGGAGAGCAAGTCTCTCAAATCCTGAGTCAGAGGGCGTAAGATGAGCTACGAGTCAATGTGGCTTCTCATCATCAGAGACCCTCCCCCTTCCCCTCCCCTCAAAAAGTAAACAAAAAAACAAAGATTCAAAAACAATGCTATCTTGGGGTTATCCTCCCTCCCCACCCCCCAAAAAGAAGAACAGGCTTCATTGCACCGAGCCCCGCGCGGCCAGGTAAAGCTCCACCATGGAGGCTCGGATGGCGAAGTCGAACCTGGGGAAAATCCCAGCCTACCCAAAAGGGCCCCTAAGAGGCGTATCTCTTTTTGAGGGGACCCCCTGAAATTTTAACTTTTCTTTTGGTTTCCCTTTACAACAGACGAACAAGGGTGCCCTCGAAAATCGGGCTCGTATGGTTGGTGTCCTGTTGGTTTCGCTTCAAGTGCCGATCGAAACGGGGTCCGTTTTGAGCATCATGGGTTGAGGGGGAACGCCCCCTGCTGTCGGCTGTGTGGGCAGTCGGTCGCAGACCGACTGTCGATCCGGCAAAGGGCACTTTGTCTGTTCCCTTCTTGAAAAGCTCAGAGTTCTCAAAAAAATTGGCCCCAATTCGTAGATGGAACCAAAGGCTACCAGCGGCTTGCCCTAGCTCTTGATTGAGCCAAAAGCACAGGTCAAACCTTTCTTTGGAGTTGGCGCCCCCTTTTTCAGATCGGAAACCACTCAAACTGGCGGGCTACAGGCCGGGGCAACGGGGCTCCCGGGGCCCGGGCTTCTCCCGGTCTCTGTGAGTCACGCGAAAGATCTCCTGAGGCTTCCGGAAGGCTCGTCACCCTGGGATTGATGGCCGCGTCAACTTTTCGTTGACGCACAAAGCTCGGCCTTGCCAGCTCCTGCCACGTAGGCTTGCAGGGTTTCTTCAACTTGTTACTGGTAGTTCTCCCATTGCCCCGTCCTTTTAGGAAAACCGAAAGAATAACACAAAAAAAACCATTGGCTTCCCAAAAATGGGACTGGGCGAACTTGGGGAAATGCCGATGTTTCATGGGGCCCATGAGACAAAGCCACGTGCCATAGAAAAATGGACCCCCGCAAATCATCCTCTGCATTTCTTGTTTCAAATCCCGCGGTTGATGACCAGCCCCAACAAAAGGCATCGGTCTTTTGATGGCACATGACGAGGCTTTAAAATACAATCCCGTCGCCCTTTTTTGCCACAAATGAGTGTCTTTTCGAGGGTAGCTCTTGTTTGCTGGCTTTCCAAGCGCAAACCAACAGAAAAACCGTTGTGCCATCTTGGAAGATCCCCTTACCTCAAAAAACACGAAACGAGCCACCCCAAGAAACCGCTGTGCCATGGTGGGGGGTCCCTTACCTTTTACAAAAAAAGGTGCCATTTTGGGGTTTCCCTCTAAAAAAAGAGCCCCATCGCGCCCTCCGAACGCAACAAAATCTGTTCGAAAGACGCCTCGCAGAGCCGCGGCGAGAGGCCAGGCTCGGAGCCGGAGCCGTACCTGGCCGGCCCGAGGAAAGCTTTCCTCGGTGGCTTTTTGCTCCCCTGCTAAAAGTTTTAAACTTTTAGCGGTTTAATGGAACACCAAGTAGTTGGCAAAAAGTTAAAGTCCGAACATCCCTTGGCAAAATGCAACAAAGTTTTCCAGGGGTGCCAAGGTACATACCCCTTTTACATACCCCTTGGACAAACTTGAAAGGCCTGCTGATGTGCCTACCATACTCTCTCCCCACAAGGGGTTTTTTAATACCCCTGAAATTATGAGGGTTGGAAACCAAGGGGGGGTATGAACAAGGGGTATGTACTTCCACCCCTAGAGAAAGGCATCTCAAGGCGTCAGCGAGGCCTTCTGACAAGGAAAGGCCGGTTTGGGTGTCGGTCAAAAATAGGTACCCAGAATGGAACCCTGGTAAATGGAAACAAATACTAAAACCTGCCGTTCATTTTCACACACACCCATTTGGGTATGGGTCAAAATGAGTCACCACCAGGATATGTGTCCCAAGTGTTCCCAGACAGGTTTCATCGTCACCAGGGCAACCCATGCTAGGGTTGCCCTATGGAAAGGCCCTGTGCGACAGGTATGACCGAGTCCGGGTGTTGGGAATGAACCGGAAGGGGATTCAAACCACAAGGGATGGAGGCCAATTTGGGTATAAGGCAAATAGTCACCAGGATACGGACCGCAGCTTAAATCGTCAATGCCTCCATTTACCAGGGTAACCCGTTTTGGGTACCTAGTTCTGACCCACAGCCTTTTGATTTGTTAGCACCCATATGTTTTCGGGCCCCAAACAACCCAAACAAAAATCTAAGGGCCAACTTACCCCAAATAAATGAATTTTAAGGGCCCTGTATGGGAATGGATTTAGGGCTATGTGCCCGGTCTAACCCCTGTATAATAGCCACTTTGCGGGTGTAGTCGGAGACCCTCTTAGAGGGAGGCGGATAGCAGTGAAGTTGGAGTTGGTTTTGCTAGTAGCCTGAGGCAGGTTGGCATACTTTGATTCGCTAACATGTCGCAGATTGGACGATTGGCCCGGGAACCAAGCACTCATTCTGCACAATCTCACTTGGTCAGAATGCAAAAAAGGCAAATCCCACTTGGCCAAGGGAAAGAGCCAGGCAAAGAACACCAAATCAGCATTGAGCCTTCTAAGCACTGCCAAACGGGTTTGCGTCCAAAAGTACGGACTCCATCTAATGGCGGGACCCGTTCCTTGTGGTGTCCCCTTCGAAACCCACCAACTTTATGGGTACCCCTGAAAAATATGCACACGCGAATTTACTACGCTCTGTACTCAAAATGGAACCCGGCAAATGGAAACTCGGACTACAACCTGCGGTCCCCTGGTGGTTCAATTTTGAGCCACACCCAAATAAAACCCAGCCCCAAACGACTTGGCGAAGTCAAACGCGTCAAGCTCACAGCGTCCAGGTTTTTCCGGCTCCGGTCTGCCCGTACCTCTGGAAAGCTGCGAGTGTGCGAGCGAGCGATGCGCCATCGCCCCATCCAACGCTCGGAGGCACCTCTCAAGGGCTTCCTCCTAACCGGGCTGTCCGTATTCCGATCTCTGCCAAAAGCTCAACTTGTGGGGTCAAATGGCCACACCCCCCCCCCCGGCAAAAAAAAAGGAAAAAAACTGGGTGGGTGTTCCTTTGGTGTCCAGTTTGTACAACCCAACCAGGACTCAAAAAGGACACATCAACTCCATGCACACTAGAGATCAAAGATTCTGGAGGGCGCCTGATGTTGGTTCTATCTCCGAACTCGATCCCAGCTTGACCTACCAGCCAGGGAGAGGGGAAGGAACAAGTGAGTTCGGGCCATCAACGCGCAAGATTCACGGGGAAAGCCATGGGTTTGGCACCGAATCTGATGCATCCGGCCGTAAGAAGCGGACGTGAAGACCGTGACGTTGTAGCCGTCCACCATGCTCTGAACCTCACTTCGATGGCAAAAGATCATGCCCAAACTGGAGTTCCCAGAAACAGCGGTTTCTGCAACAGAAAAGCCCATCATAAAATTGGGCCAGCACCTTGCCGTCTCAAATTCAGGTGCGAGAGAGAAATCACACATTTCCAAAGCCACTTGCTCTCTTCCACCAAAGTGTTGCCTTCTCATTTGTCATTTGGAGTCAAAGGGCCTTCTCCACTTTGCGGAAGGCACGGAAGCGTTTTTCTCGTCTTCGCAAGCACCAAAATTCGAAACTCGACGGGTCTTCCACTTACCAGAGCCTCCAATGAGGGTCCGGTTACGCCAAACCAGCCACCCGGCCCCGAGGCCGGCACCATCCCCTTGCACTCCGCAAAGACCTCCGCCTGGGTACTGTTCGGCCCGAAGATGGCGTCGTAGGCGAACTCCTCTCGGGATGGCCAGTGGCACAAGGGAAGCTCAAATCATAGGTGTCCTTCTTGGGAGAATAGATGGGCCTGGTAATTGATTGAACCATGGCTAAGGGGCGGCAAACCCGTTAACCCTCTACCAAGGGAAGCTCAAATTTTACTTCCAGGGCCCAAGGGGGGAATCACAACACCGGAAGAAAAGAAAACAAAAAAAACTCATTTTTTGGCCCAGTGATTTTCAATCCAAACAAACAAACAAAACGGCGCGGGGGTTACACCAATTGGCCCATTTGCGGCAAAGCGGCGAAGACACCAACGGCCCTCTGCCCTGCCTTCCGCTAGCTCGAGGATTCCGAAGAACTCCGAGAAGCAAACACTGAAAAGTCATCAAGCGGACTGGCTCACGTCGGGGAAAGCTGGTAAAGCGCACTATATATATATATATATATATTTATTTATCTATATATATAAGGAAAAAGGAAACAAAAACGGTGAAACTGTTGGGACAATTCATGCAAGCCATGGCCACAAAAACTGCATCTGCGAGTTTTGGTCATGGCTCCCTTAACAGTAAGTGAATCGGCCTTTTCAGCATGGCACACATGATTCTACCAACGTGGCTATTAAAGGGTGTAGAAGCCTTACAAGAACCCCTATGAAAGGTAGAACCAACAGCAAAATGCCCATGACGTTCTCAGTTACTTCAGGTTTACTCACAAAAAGGCCATGTCAGTTGGGGATTGACCATTGCCCAATGTGAATGAAACACCCCCCCCCATCCCATCCCATCCCACTGAAACCAGGCAGCTACTTTAGGCCACCCGGGGGAGTTGGGCGCCAAATTTGGGGCCCGTCCCTCCATGTCCTCGACCAGTAGACTACCACTTGTGGTTGCTCATGTGGATGGCTGCGACATCCGTTTCGCACCACTTTGAAACAAACGCTTGAAACCATTGCCTGTATTTGCAGGCGAGTCGACTCATGCTGTTGGGTTTCTGAACGGTGCAGAGGCGGATTTCGCCACCATCCACCAAACCCGCCAGCCGTCGGCCTGCGCGTCGTGGTCATCTCTAGTCACGGACACCGTGAAGGGGTCAACCACCTCGCAAAGCCGCGCTTGCCAGGCCGGACCAAAAAACGTGTCGACCGAGTCTCACCAGCTTTCCCATGGGAAAAGCGGGGCTTTTGCCATTTACGTTGTCTGTAGTATATAGAACAGGTTTGATTTAACTCTCATCAAGAGTAGCTATTGGTTGGGGCAGGTTGGATAACACAAACATCATCGAGAGTATACAGAACGATATTTTACTGGCAAAACATTCGGAGTCCGTGTGTTGCCTGCCGAAACAAACAAACTGCTTGCACACCTGAAGATAAACTGGCCTGCTCACGGTTGAAAATCCGGCGCAGACCCCGCAAACAAATCACATTTGTTGATATCTCCGCACAAATGGCAACTACGTTGTCTGGATCCTTTAATGGGCATGTTTTACATGAGGATTCATGCCCACAGTTGCTGAGGGTCTTCCCATCGCTAAAAAAGACATCGCCAAACTTCCACTCCGGACCCACCACGTAGAGCGTCGGATGGGCGGATGTCCACATCAACTTCTTGGGGTGGCCCCTTAGCCTACCGGATTTATTGAGTGTCTTGATTTGTGGACCGCTTTGGAGGTGCGTTCAAGGGGAACCAAAGGGACACCGTCTTTGGGTCGCCCCACGAACAAACCCAAACGAGATGACCTCCCCCATACCAAGGACATCGGATTTGGCGGGGAGGTTGGACTCGTCCCGCCTTCTCCTCAACCAAACCCAAAAATAACATCACAAGAACCGGACCCCCAGTTTGGTGGTCACCCACCTTAGCAACCTTTCATATCTCTTGGCGGCCCAGGTTGTAGGAACCTCCCCAGAGGCGATTCCAAGGCATGCCGGCGCAAATAGAAAGGCTTGTCCACACTGAACGTCTCGAGGGAAAGCGGTTCAGGTTGGTTTGAGGCGACCTTAAAGGGAAAACCGCAATTCTCAGGGTTCGCCGTTTTTGAGAAAGCCCCATATGAAGCCATGGTCACCCATGCTTGTTTCCTCGAAAGCGTCCCCTGGTTCTTGTGGGGAACTTTAGAGCTCGTTCCCGCTTCTTATTCCGATGGACCATCGCTTAGATTGGCTTTCCTTGGTTCTTTGGTTCGCTGGTTCGTTGGATTGCGTTGAATTGCTTTGGATTCGTTGGTTCGCTTTGGATTCGTTGGTTCGTTGGATTGTTTTGGATTCGTTTGTTTTATTTTGGATTGGCGTGTTTTATTTGAGTTTGGTCTGGCTTCTTCGTTTGATTCGTTGGTTGGTTGCTTCCTCAGTGAGTTTGTAAGACCTCAGAACCTCGACTTTCGCCTTTCCCGCGACGCGCCGCTCGCCACGACCACGCGCTTGACATCGACTTCACAACACGGAGGCCTCCACGGCGATGGTGTCCTCCTTCTTCTTCTCGCGACCGTTCAGGGGCCTCCGAATGGACACACAGTGACTGCATGGTTTAGGTCTTGCTGTCCCGGTAAAGCCACCCAGACAGGGTACCCTCAAAACCACAGAAACAAACAAACAAACAAACAAACAAACAAACAAACAAGCAAGCAAGCAAACAAAACACACACACACACACACAGACACACACACACACAGACACACACACACACACACACACACACACACACACACACACACACACACACACACACACACACACACACACACACACACACACACACACACACACACACACACACACACACACACACACACACACACACACACACACACGCACACGCACACGCACACACACACACACACGCACACGCACACGCACACGCACACGCACACGCACACGCACACGCACACGCACACGCACACGCACACGCACACGCACACGCACACGCACACGCACACGCGCGCGCCATGCTGTTGCGCATTCAACTCAATCGCCGAGCAATCGATTCCAAGCACCCCGGCCGTACTCGGCAGAAGACCCTTAGAGCTCCCTTCAGGTCTTGCAAGTCCTGGCGCGAGTTTCGAGGAACTGGTGCATTCATTGGAACATGGTATATGGCTGGCTCGTCTTTTTCAGGATTCGGACCCCCCCCCAGAATGTGTTGGTGTTCCTTTTGGTTTCCCTTTAAAACCACCAGAAAAGGGGTACCCTCAACAATGACACACATGTTCTTCAATTTGAAGGGAAAATAATGCACAGGCACATGGATTCGTGTTGCGTTGTCATAGTTGCTTTGCATAAGGGTTTTCTCTGCAGCTCATCTGCAGTGTGATGCCAGACATGAGTTTATTTTGAAATAGGGGCATATTCCTGGGCTTCACCATTGGCAAGGTCGCAAACCCTCTGCGTCGCCACAGTTTGCGCAAACACCTCCAGTTCCCCGACAAAAATCAACACCCTGAATTTGCAAGCGCCTTTCAAAAAGCCTTGGGGTTCATATTTCACCACCCTTATTTACCCTTCCGCATCTTACACTTGGGTCCCCAAGACGGCCATTCCTTTAAAGGGGCGCAAGGAACGAAGCCCCACGGACCCCGACGCGGCGGCCGGAGGCCGCCGGATGCTGGGTGCAGCGGCGTTGTGGAAGCCGCGGAGCTGCTTGTCCCCGTTCTCGCGGAGGATGTTCACGTACTGCTCCTGAGAGACGCGTTGAGTCATCAAAACCCAAAAAATCCTGGGTGTCGGCTTCTCGGCCAAAAATAGGAACATAGATGGCTGGGGAAAAAAAAAACACGGAGGTTCATCATCAAGGTTTAGGGTTTGGGATTTAAGGTTTAGGGTTTAAGGTTTAGGGTTTAGGGTTTAGGGTTTCTCGGCCAAATTGGAAAATGGATGGCTTGGAACCCGCGCAAGTTTTCAAAGGCCCCCTTTATGTTTCAACCAAGCCCACCAGAAAGGACACCTGAGTCAGAATCAAAAACCTCGGCATTAAAATGGTCGATACCCGAAACCATGCTTCAAGAATTGACAAGGCGGATATCCGCACCCACTTCTGGCTGGGATTGCCCCTAGCCTTCATCTGCCCGGGTTAGCACGTGGCTCACGTCAGGCATGGCCCCATGGCCTCATAGAAATAAGAAACCTCCCCCGCAAAATATGCGCCAGCCGGCCCGCTCCCCCATTTTGATGGGAGCCCATTCCGCAAAAACGGGAGCTCCATGTCCCATAAACGGAGACTTCCATGTTCAGATACTGCTCCTGAAGACATGAGCCGCGTTGCCGGGAAAAAGAAGCCAAAAAGAAGGTCCATGACTCCGATCCATGTACTACCTCTCTGCTCTCTCTGACTGGCGATGTTCAGCTCGAAATCATCCCGAGCACCGAATCAGGGCCCAGTTTGCAAGAGCCTCCTATGGGGATTGAACCCATGACCGTACGCTTACGAAGCGCATGCTCTACCAACTGAGCTAAAGAGGCCTTGTGAGGTGGCGTGTTTCAGAGCATTACCTTTCCTGGAGTCCGCCGGGCCTCCTTCTTCATTCCCTTCAAAACCGCTCCAGAACTACTAGCTTTGCGGTGGCTCCTTAGCTCCCTCGTTAAAGGCAAAGTTGGATATAGCCCCGTACCGGCTGCCTTCCAAGCACGAGCTAGACTAGGTGCTCCAGTAGAGAGGTTGGAATACGGGTGCCCCTTTTTCTGCAGTTTAATTCAGTAGGGGAACCCTCCGCACTGCTGGGGGACCTAGTAGACAAAGGTACCCTCCAAAAACGACCGCCGAAAAAAACCAATTTGGGCCGTCTGCTTCCTTCGACGGACGCAACACACGCGCCCGAGGACCGCGCCAGCTTGGCCACCATGGCCAGGCGCGCTTCCCGGTCGTGCTCGCTCCTGGCCAGCAGGATGTCCTGACCAGTCCGAGTGACGCTTCAGCCGAAGATCTGGGCGGACCCAGGGAGTTGGGAATGAACCTATCGAACAACCAAGAATATATGGAAATAACACATCCTGTATATATGTATACATGTATATATATATATATATACATGCATGTATGTATATTTGTATAGATGTGTATATTTATATAGGTATATATGAATATATCTATACAAATATATATACGTGTGTATATATACGTGTGTGTGTATATATATATATATATATGGCGTCCTACCTTCGCCCTAGACTTACGAAAGGGTTCAGCACGCCAAACCACCACTCCAAACCACCACTCCAGGCATAGCTGAGACATCCGAAGTTTGGGGACTTGGACCCGTTCTAGTCCCGGAGCACCACCAAATCCAAGCTTCGCCCTTCGGGACCATGACGCAAAAGGTCAAAAGGAAACAAATGGGAAGGATCTGGACCGAAATGGGGGAAAGGACTTTGGTCCTCCCTTGTGACCATTCCCGTTGTTTTTCCCCCCAAGGTAAAGACCAAAATGGGAACACCAAAAGGTTAAAAGATCGGCTTTGCACATATGAGTGAATCAAAGCCTCACCCATCCCAAAGCGCCCCCTCCTCTTCTGTCAAAGAGCGAAGCCTGATCACCGAATCGGTGTGCTCCTGCCGATTGCGTGAATCCACGAATGCACCTAGGGCCTAGATAAATAGAGCATGGGGGGTTGAGGCACTCCACATTCAGTTATGATAGGAGCAAACTTTGACCCCTTCTCCTACGTCAGCCATCTACTAGTATCATCTGCCACAATCCACATCCCGCAGAGTTTGCAGGCTCGAAAAGCCAAAGCACCTCCACAATCCAGCGCTGTCAGGCCTTCACACAGGAGCACATGGCTGTGAATCTTAACACAGTAAGGGAGCCACCTCAAAAGTGCTGGCTGGACATGTCGATCACAGAGTCCCCCACTAAAATTCACACCCATATGGGTATGTGTCATAGGGATTCGGACCAAATGACCAAATGAATTTCAGTGCTCCTGTTGGTTTCCCTTTGAACCAACCTCAGGTGCCAAGCCTCAAAACACATTTGCATCTCGCCTAGATAACCAAGTTGCGATCGTTGCTTTTTTTCAGTCACGGTTGCTGGTTTTTGGGGGTAAAGTGCATGAAAAAAACGATCGCAGCTGGCGATCCCATCTCGGATTGTCCTGATCCAGCAGGAGCTGCTGGCAAGCTGCTAGGCCTGGCGATCAGATCTCGGATGCCAGGCCTAAAGTTGTTCCCCGAAAAGGGCATGCTCTGGACGCCCTTTCTGTCTCTTGGGCCCTGGTATCTGAGTCGACTCCCCAACGCAAATGCCAGCAAACAATGGCTGCATGGATTTCAGCTCGTGCGAACGGAGTCCGCAACCAGCCGCACTAGGAAACTGGAGAGGCGCACTAGGTAAGCTGAGAAGCTTGAAACGGAAGATGGTGGAAATGCTGTCCCCCGGCTTCTCTCCAAATGGGATGGGGGGGGGCCGAAAATTTGAGCTTCGGCTTCCTTTGGTTTGCCCAAGAAAGCCCATCCCTAGAAAGTGGGGTAGGGCTACGCATTGGTTTAAACATGTTTAAACTATTGGTTGTTTAAACCATATTTTGCCCCCTGCTAAGCGCGTTTGTGGCCATCCTTTGTGGCCGGTGGCCGCGGCCTTGCCGAAGCCGCGGAGGGTCTTTCTGCTGAAAGGCCTCGGAGCTTTTGAAGGCGCGAGGAACTTGCTCGGAGCAATTTTTGAGGGCACGTGTTTTGGGTTTGGCTGAGGAAGTTAGAGGGCAAAGACAGCTTTTGGGGGGTGTTCTATGTTGAGAACCCAAACAAAACCAGGAGGGCTGTCTATGACCTAGCCCCTTCCTCCCACACGAAAGGGCAGGAAGGGCACGCCAGCATGTCAGACTCTGGAGCCAACATTTGCTTCAAGTTCCCCTCGGAACGGACTCGCCAAATGCAACATTTGGCAGTGGCTCAAAAAACGGAATCCCATCAAAATGGCACCTTGGTATATAGGAAGCAAGGACTAAAACCTGCGCAAGCCCAGCTGTATAAACTGGGCTCTCCTCAGATCCCCCTACAAGTGCAACTTTCAGTGGGTCAACTGGCCACCCAACCACCTTTCACCAACTAAAAAGATCCAAAAAGCCAAGTTGACCCGGATGGCTGGGAGCCACCGAGTAACTTTCAGCCACCGTTTCCTTCAGGCTCCCAAGCCTGTCAACTCCCTGAAGCTTCACGTCTATCGCGCCTCGTCCAAGAGCTCCTTCGTCTCGGCGGTCTTTTTCCTCACGCAAAGAACTGCTCAGGTTCTAGGGGTAACTTCCCCGTTCTTTCCAGGGATCCTTCTTTCTAGAAAACCACCAAACACCTGGGGAAATGGCTGGTTTTTGACAAGAAAAATGGCTGCAAAGAATGGGGAATCGACCCCTAGATCAGTCTCAGACGCTCCCCTGCACACAAAGTTACGTGTTGCTGGTTGGAGAAAAGGACTGAATTCCCAAGAAGCGAAAAACCAGCTTCCTTCCAATTGGTGGTTCGGATTGGTGGGCCCCCATTTACCCTGTACAAAAGCCAGGGGTGCAAATCTCCAAAGAACCAATCCAAACAACCGACTAAAAAATACCTGAGTGTTGCTGGTGGCAAGGGAAAAGGAATGAGAACCGAAAAAGCAAAAAGAAAGATTTGCTCAAGTCTGGCCTCGGAATCCCCGTGGCGGCTCCAGCTTGCGAGAAAAAGTTACGGTCAGCTTCCTTCCAATTGAGTTGGGTTGGTAGTTTGGTGGCTAGAACCACCAATCCAAAGAACCAATTAAGGAGAACCTGAATGAGGCACGGTTGTTATTGGGAACTTGCTGAAAAAAATGGACATACATGTGAATGTATGTGCAAAGGGTCCGACCAAGTCAACCTCTGACCCAGTTGGCTGTGTCTCCCTTTCTTGCAAGGCTGCCCACCCCCCCCCCCCCCCCCCCCGTTTTTGTGGGTCTTTTAAGGGAAAGCCAAAAGGAAAACCGGAGAAAAAAAAAGTCCCTTGCGGGGCGGGGGGGGGGGATTCGTAGTTTGGACACTCAGGGTGAATTTTGCGACCCCGGCGACCCCCTTCTGTTTTTAGGGTTCTTGGCTGCTTTCATAGACTCTAGGTATGGCAGGGGTCCCTAACAAAAGGACACCCCACGTGTCGGTCCCCGCATCTTTCTTGGCCCCTGACTCCAGCTGATTGCTCAGCTGTGTGAGCAGCTGTTCTGCGTCTCGAACCTCGCTCGTGACTCATCCAACCGTTGGATTGACTCACATGGAACCCAAAACTTCATCACTAGATGTATCTGTAGGTATTTGAGATGGAGAGTTAAATGGAGAGCCAGTAGGGAATGACCTTCTTCCGAGTATTGGGAATGACCGGAATGGGATTCCCTGGAAGGAAACCAAAGGGGATGGCTTTTTCGAGGTCATTCCATTTCTCATTCCCTGCCTATCGAACCAGCAAGAAAGGGGGGGTCCGATTCCCAAAAGGAGAATGTGTTTGTCTTTTGCAGGTCCCATGTTTCAGCTTCCCCTTAGTTGGTGGTTTGGAGCCGGTGGTTTAGTCGTTAGGGGTGTTCTCCCATGTACCCTTTACAAAAACAAGGGGTTCAAATCCAAATCTTCTCCACCAATCCAAACCACCAACTAAGGGCTACCTGAATGTTGGTTTGCAGCGTAAGAATGTCTGGGAAAAGAAGACAGCGATCAAAATCTGCACGTGGAATTGGTGCCGTCTCGGGCCTGCGTGCTACCACTAACGTGGTCATGTTTTTGCAAGTATGGCTTTAAATCGACACCACAAAGAAAACCACCATTTTGGGGGGGGTCAACCTTCAGCAAGACAGACGCACAGGAAGTTTGCCAAATCATCAAAATTAGGGGTTTGGTTTCGAAGCGATAAAGGCATCTCAACTGGCTGCATGGCACTCGGATACACAGTGTCCCAATTTTTCCAGGTGGCGACCCCCTGTGTCTGCCAAGTCATTGTTGAGGCTCAGTACCCTTTTCTGGCTGGTTTAGAGGAAGCCCCAAGGAAAACCGTTTCTTTGGAGGGGCCGGGCTTTGGGCACGTACCCAATTTGCCTTCCTGTAGTGGTTCAATGTCACATACAACCCCTGGTTTGAGGGATTGTGGACACGGTCTTGGAAACAACGAAACACATGTGAGGCTTTGTGGATTTGTCTCAAAATAGGGAAACGTTCCCTCCTGCAACTCCAAAGAGCCCGCCCGCGCCATAAAAAGGACATACCTGCATGGGTGCGCAACTGAACTAGCATGAGGATTTATGCAATCACCACCCATGTTTGACGCTACTTGAACCCAAAGCGGAGATATGGGTGTGTATCTGCCGAAAGAACCTCCCAGAATTGTCCATCATTTCCTTTGAAAGAACCCCAACCAGGACTGTGCAAAGCTTGCTAACGCCAGGCCCGACAAGGTTGCCTGGCTGTCCGAACCTTTGTTTAAACATGTGGCAATGGGTCAAAATGCCGTACCCCCGGTGAACATCCCAATCCCCACTAAAATAAAGCCCAAAATGGGTGGTGCACCTACCCCAAAATGGGATCCAAAACGGTTTTGACCCACAGCCATGTGTTACAGGGGCTGAAGCACCCAACCGCGGTACCAACTCAACTACTCATAAACCGCCCACCCCCCACCCCAGCCACAAATTCCACATACAGCAGCGTCGACCCCAAACAGCAATTGCGCACATCAGCTCTTTCAGTTGGACCACAAATTGCAAACAACCGGAGTCTCGTGTCTGGGCAGCCAAATCAAGATGCCAAGTCAAGGACAGGGCATTGCCTCGCATGAAGAACGAGGAACAACCAATTGGGTGACCGACCGTTGTCGTCAAGTCTTGTTGCAGGTTTGTTCTCCATATCGTGGAATGCAAAAAACGCAAGTCGGTGTCACGGAAAACCAACAGTTCACGCGCGCCAGCTAAGTGTCAGCACAAGCAGGGACACAAGTAGGAAGACGTGGGGAGACACAAGTGGGGAGACAAGCCGTGACAAGGTCCGAACCACCAAGCACCACCACAAGCAGGGAGACGGGTGGGGAGTAGGGGCAAACCATCCCGTGACTTGGAGCAGGGCGGTTTTGATGAGGCTCGACGCCTTTTTTGGGGGTACAGAAAACCAAGAGGAAACCATGGGAAGACCGGCTTGGGGGTACCAACTCAAAGCACGCCCCCGAGCTGGATGTCCGGATGGGGCCAACAGGAACCCCACTTTGGCTCTCATGTTCTTTTTGTGGTTTCTATCCAAGAAAGTGCGCTCTTGAAAGCACACATATCCAGATTGCCGCGCCTTTTTTCAGGCCCCCAACATGGCTTTCGTTTTAATGACGGCGAGAAAGACATCCATCCAGCTGGCTTCCTTTAGGGTGATTCCATTTGGGTGCAGTCCATGTCTCCTTCCCTACCGATTTCGCACCAAGGCAAGCCTGGGGCTTCCAAAATTGACCCACACCCATCTCCTGGTTCCCCACCTTCAGGTTGCCCAAGGAAACCGAACCCACCAGGCTTGGTTGCTGTTGGCCCTGCAAAAAACTTAACCTTTCTTGGGGGGTTTAGTGGAAAACCCCTTCATTTCAGCCAAAAAGCTAAAGTCTAAAGATCCAACCCAACAGAGTCAAGCCAAACGACACCCAGCGACCCAAAAACCGCGCCCGAGGCCCGTGGGCGGCCCGTGGGCAGCCTTCCAGGGCCCCCGGCGTCAGCGTTGAAGCGCTGCGCCTCGGCGATGGAGGTCCGGAGCCCGTCCAGCACGGCGGCGTTGAGCATCCTCGCTGGGAGGGGCAGGAATTTATATATGTGGTATATGGGTATATGGGTATATGGGTATATGGGTATATGGGTATATGGGTATATGGGTATATGGGTATATGGGTATATGGGTATATGGGTATATGGGTATATGGGTATATGGGTATATGGGTATATGGGTATATGGGTATATGGGTATATGGGTATATGGGTATATGGGTATATGGGTATATGGGTATATGGGTATATGGGTATATGGGTATATGGGTATAGGGGTATATGGGTATATGGGTATATGGGTATATGGGTATATGGGTATATGGGTATATGGGTATATGGGTATATGGGTATATGGGCATGTGTGGTGTATATATTTGTCCTCTTTTGAGCTGGTAGTGCTTCAAAAAGACCCCTCGAAAGCCCTTACTTTTGGGGTCCATGTTTGGCCAACCCACACCAAAAAGGGTACCAACTCAAAACCACATGCATTGCACGGGTGGGCCTTTGCCCTGCCATGCTCGGTGGGGGGGAGGGTGCTTTGTAGAAAACGTACGTGCACTGTGCATCGTGCATTGGTCAAAATGTGCTACGCCATGGGTAAATTCGAGTGGACCATAGACTACCGTAAGTTTTGACAGAACCTCATATTATGAGCCACCATCAAACCTCTACAATATAGGGCAAGTTGTCATGGCTTTCTGGGGAATCCTCGTGATACGTGCCGAAAAATTCCCAAAAACATGTCCTGTATCTGTGACCATGTTCGAGAAATGTGTTGGTCCCGTTGTATGGTTCTCGGTGAAAACTGAATGAGTGTCCATCAAATGGACCATAGGCTGCTGGATATATGTTGACCCAAAGAGCCGGCACCCGTTTCGGCGTCTCGGGGTGTCTTTCTTCTCCAAGACCAAAAATAACCCATGTCATGTTGTTCCTGCGCATCAACGGTGATTCACATAGATCATGTGGGTCTCAAAACCAGGGCACCCCCAACATGATTGACTCCTTGGGTCTCCCTCGAAAACACACCAAAAAGGGTCCTTCCCCCACCCAAAAAAAAAAAAAACAAATGGCACGCCCACGTATGTGTGTGTGTGCCGCTACGCAAGCAGCCTCGGGACACTCCAAGTCCAAGTCGCCTTCCTTGTCATACCCCAAATGACAATTTGGACGGCCAAGCTCTTTGTCGATTTCAGGGCCTTGTTTGGGGGAGTCCATGTCAACTGTGCAGGGGAGAGGCGTTTGCGGGCATCTCTGCCTGGAACCTAAAAAGGAGTCCCGAAAGGAGGACGCTTTGTTGGGCTCCACGATCTGCAGAGTGAACCGGATCTGGAAGCCTCAAATAGGGGAAACATCGAAAGCCAGTTTGGGGGGCGGGGGTATGTTCCACACTGCAGGACAGTGTCACCGAAAGGCCTTCTGGCGAAGATGAAGGAGGAAGATGATAAGGATGACTATGGGGCGGGTTACCTCTAAACTCGTTTTGATCCGAGGATCCCGGCCCTGCTTCTCGGACAAGCCTCAGTCGACTTGAGTCTCAACGCTGCGTGTGGTGGTCAATTGAGTCACCATCAAAACCGACCGGCATTAAACTGGTCCACCCAGAACTATGCTTCAAGAATGAAAAAGGCGGCTGCACCCATGCGTGGTTGGGAATTCCCCTTACTAACCTTCATCTACCCGGGTTTTGATTGTGATTCAATTGATGTATTACATGGTTTTCAGTCTATTGGCATTCTTTTGTGTTTTCTTCGGGGAGTTGTCATGAAATACTGAGCACAGGGACTGCGCAACTTGCCAAAAAAATGATGAAAAAGAGGGCTGTGCGAGAAATAGTGGTTCTGAACCTGGTGATCTTCAAGCAACTATTATTCGTAATATATTGAAGTAGAGATAGGCACTTGTCAACTTGCAGAGATCTATACCAATCAGCTGATGCTAACAAAAATGGCGTGCAAGGTAAGCCAAACAAGATAGGCGCGATGTCCAATGTCATGGATGTGATGGGCGACTTGCTCCGCCTGATTGGAGTGTTTCTGCAGAAAACCAAAAGTCGATAAAACAACCAAATCAAGGGACCCAGTGTCAGTATGTTACTTTTGAAAACACGTCCACCTTATGCGAGTTGCAATTGTTCACACAGTTCAGAGCCAGCTGCTATGGGAGCCACAGGATGGTCCAAAATGGCAAGTCTAAAAGTCATTAGGTTGCAATGGTTCCCCTTTCGGCTCTGAAAGCTTGAACGGTGGCTCCCTGCTGAACTCTCTAAACATTTGCCTGGAAGGTCAGAAACAACTCGTCGGAACCTAAAATGGCTAAATGGGTTGCCCCGTCAACTGGAAACATGGACTAAACCCTGCGGCCCCTGATAATTTAATTTTGAGCCATACCCAAATAAAGAACGAAATGATTGAGAAGATTGCCAGAAGGATGAAACAAAATAAATAAGAGGCCATACTTTGATTACTTTCGTCACCTGTTGTCATTGCATTTACAAGCGTCTGTCCTCTTACTTGTCATGCTTTTCGTTTCGACAAGGCGATAGGCTACGATAGGCTAGTCGAGTGCGCAGAAGTATACCCCTGTCATCCTTTCCACCAGCGCTCTCCCACAATATGAATATTGGTTGGAAAATAGATAGGAAGGCAGACACACACAATCCGCACGCGGTACTATCATTCCAATGCCTGACATAAGGCATCCCCGAGTACATCATCTCGTTGTTTTCCTCCAAACAAAGCCACAAAATAGGCTGTTTGCCGTCGTGTAAAGGTATAGTAGACGGATGTAAATGACCGAATGAGGAGAGGAGTGGTCAATCAACGCCAGGATGTCACTGACGGCTCAGCAGTTCAAGGCGGCATGTCATTGGGCGTGGCTCCGATTGCACTCACGCTAAAATCCGGGATTTTGCTGCACAGGCTAAGTCACAGCTGCAATTCCAATGCAAGCCAAAGCTGGGTTCATTTTCGAGAAGTTTCCCACCAATAGCTTTTTTGGGGGGGAGTTTCGTCTCAAAGTGCAAAACGCAATTCTGAGAGCGCCTCAGCTCGACCCAGCCCACCCGCATTGGCTGGGCCCCACGCTCCACGTCCGCCCGAAGACTCTCCTCGGCGAGACCTGAGACCCAAAAGGCAGCATGAAAAACCAAACCGGCAGATAGAGTAATCGGGAGATTTGCAGGGGAAGAAGTAAAGAGTGCCTACATAGCCAAGTTTTGCTGTTTTTTCAGTCACTGTTGCTGGTTTTTTGGGGTAAAGCGCATGGAACAAACAGCAACTTTTCCATCCAGGTGTGTGTGTGTGTGTGTGGGTGCACTCAGCCACAACAGGCATCCCCCAGCAGGGTTGGGACCCTGCTCGGCGCACGCACTCTTGCCGCACGCGCAGCACGCAGCCGAGAGCCCAAGTCTACGCGAGCCGGCAATCCCTCGTTGTAGGCTCGGAGATGCGCAGCTTGGAGACGGGGTTGCCTTCAGCGTTTTAAGGTTGCGTCCCGCACGCGTCCCGCACGCGGGACAGCCAGCGTCGCAGTGAGGTCGGCTCAATGGCAAGTCTGGCAGGTTCCCAACACCAGGAATCCAAATCCTGGAGTCCCCGCCCTCCCACCCATGCTCAACGGTACTCCCCCGGTGGGTTGGTGGGGTGTTTGAGGGGTGTTTGATAGGTGGTTGAGGTTTGGTTAGCTTGACTCGAGTTCTGACCGGAGCTTTTTGGAGCCTCTGTTGGGAGCCTGAGGAACACATGGTACAGCGTTGCCAGACCCCACCCCACTCCTCCTCCGATCGTCATAGATCATACCACCGGTGGGTTGTGGTGGAGAGGGTGTGGTGGTTACAAGGTTGGCATTGGGCTTTGGTTGGTTTAGTGTTGGTTTCAGGGTTGGTTTTAGAGATGGTTTCGGGTTGGTTTCGGGTTGGTTTTAGACATGGTTTAGGGTTGGTTTCGGGTTGGTTTAGGGTTGGTTTAGGGTTGGTTTCGGTTGGTTTTGGGTGTGTTTGGGGTTGGCTTTGGTTGGTTTAGGGTGTGTTTAGGGTTGGTTGGAGTTGGTTTAGGGTCATGTGTGGGTTGGATTCTCCTGGGTGCGTGTTTGTCAGGTGCGCTGCAACAAGCAATGCAGGACCTTTTGTGACCATGGCACATATATGCCCTTCATTGCAAGTCGCTTTCCGCTCGCAAACAGGGGAACAACACTCAGTGCATTCTACAGGGTCCCAGAAACTTCACGAGAAAAGAACATCACCCCACCAAAAAAGCCATCCTTTAGATGGCTCTGAAGGTGAAACCAAATAAACACTCTAGGGACCCCTGTTTCCAGGCAAAACCAGACGCAACTCGCGTTGGCTCCGGGCGTTTCTCCTGAATCTTCTTGTCCTCGATCATACCTGGCGAACAGCCCCACTGACTGTCAACCAGCACGCTTGCTGGTTGTTTAGGTTGAAAAAACGCCTTTTGCGTCGTGTGAAAAAGAATAAGCTCAGGCGATATCCCCAACAGCACCACACCCTCCCAGAATCCTCGCGGAACCCGCCCCGGAACCCACCTCACCGCCGATTTTGCTGAGGATGCCGCCTTGTAACTTTATAAAGCAAAGCTAAGAGTGACAGCGCAATCGCGCCCTGGTCGGGGCCCGACAGCGCAATCAGGGCCCGATCGAAGCCCGACGGTGCAATCGGGCCCGAGCGGTGCAATCGGGCCCCGAGCGGGGCCCAATGGCCCCGTGGTGCAAGCGGGCTCCCACCAACCCCAGCCACCCATGTTCGGCCCCGACGGTGCAATCGGGCTCCGGCGGTGCAATCGGGCCCCGGGCTCGGTGAACCTCGCAAACCCTCCTCGCAACCCTCGTGGCAGCGCGAAACTTTCAGGGCTGCCCCATAGCTTTTGCAGAACCTGGGGGAAACCTCGTGCAGGGCTTTTGGAACCTTACCCCATAGCCCTCGCAGCCTCGCCTTGGAACCCAAAGCCCACCAAGTAATACTCAGTAATGCCAAGCATTTACTCTGCTGCACAGTGAGTCCCGCAGCAACGTGATCTGATTTGCCACAAAGCCAACATTTCGGCCGCGTTGTCTGAGCAAGTGAGCAAGTCAAAACAGTGAAAGTGTGCTGAAAACCACCGCCTGTGAGCATGGAACTCTGATGGAACCTTACCTCAAACCACCCCGGACCACCCCGCAGCCCTCGCAGAACCTCGTGGAACCCTGGTGGAACCCTGGTAGAACCTTACCTCAGGGCCGCCCCGGACCACCCCAAAGCCTATCTGGGCTGAGACCCCAAAGCTTTCAGCTGTTGGGGAAAAAAAGAGACGTAGAAACCCAACCAATTGCCCAAATGCGTGGTTTGCAAAATCCCCGTTGGTGAGTACGCTCGGAGCCGCGAGCTTTGTATGTGAAGCCACTCAAATGTGACCCGATGAGACGTGGAAGGCAAATCCATATCACTGTAGTTACAAAAAACAGCACGCTCAGAGAATTTTTCCCCAAAAAGATCCCCTAAAATCATCACCCCTACCCAGGGAGACTGACCTTAAACTTCCTTTGCGGATACGGTTCCTGGAAAAAGTAAAAATAAAAATAGAACCCTGTAGTGATAAATCCCCTTTAACACCAACAAGGGGGAAAAAAACATATTAGGCAAATGGAAGTAAAGCATCCAAGCAATGTGATGCTCGAAACCACCAAAACCCCACGCAAAATCCTCGCGGCTGATCAATCGCCAGGCGTGCGCTTGAGGTCAGCGACGATCTCTGGCAGTACAGCCTGGACAGATTGCAAAAAAGATCACCGCGATCGGAGGCGGCAGGGATTTTGAGGGGACCATTCTTGGTTAGCGAAATCAAATTTCCACCAGTTGAAAGGTGAATTGGCCACTTTATGCCAACCCCGGATTTGAGTTGAACCTGATTTGGGTCACAAAAACTGAGAAGCGGCTCCCCGCGAAGATTGGACGCAAAATGAACATGGGGCCATAAAATTATGGGTTTCCATTGGCACCCAAGCCATCCGGCCAGTTTCGAGGAGATTCCAACCCCCAAAGCGGGCAATGGGCCACTTGTGCTGCATTGCCTTGACCCCACAACTCCGCCCAGCCCAGCCAAACGGGTGTCTTTTTGAGGGTACCTGGATCGCCAGTTGCTAATTCTTGTGTTTTTTTTCCATGCACTTTACCCCAACAACCAGCAGCAGTGGCTGAAAAAAAAGCGGCAAAACTTGGCTATCTAGGTACCCAGTTTTGGCAGGGCAGGAAAATTCCAAAACTCTGGGTACTCATTTTTCGGCAGGGCAGCCAGAACCCGAAACCCAAAGAATCCCACCATCCTTGGGGCTCCCTCCCGTGACGGGAGCGCCCTCTATGTGCCTGGCCTCGGCCTTCGCGATCGCCGCCTTCTTCACCAGCCGCCTGCGCCACGGATCGCCCGAACCCTTCGCCAAGAAACCGCGCGTTGATGCCATGGAGCGCGTTTTGTGGCCAGCTTTTTTTCGTGGAAAGAGAGGAGCGGGCAGCTGGAATGCTTCAACAAAACCGGCTAAAAACCCAAGATGAAGTAACTTCGCTTTGGTTAGGTGGAATGTGGGGGTACGGGTAAGGGATGCGGGGGTTCAAATTTATTCAGACAAACCCATCGGAAGCTGATTCGGTGTGCATGGTTTTCCCAGTCTGTCCATTTCTCGACAACTTTGGGTTCATCTTTTGGTACCCAGAAAAATATGGGCTTGTCTGTTGTTCCGGGTACCTTTTTGTTGGTGATATTCAAGGGAAACCAAAAGGAAACCCAACCATTTTGGGGGGTCCGGTCCAGCCTTAAAAAGACACTTCAAAAGAGGCATCTTCAGAGCCATGCACTTTTCACCTGAGCCAGGCTCAATATTTATTGTGTGCCCTCTGTACTTTTGGGTTGTCCGTTTCCTCAAGCGACCTTGGCGAGTGTACCCCATGTCAACACAGAAGACTACAGCAAACATATTCAGCTTCCCTCTAATTGGTGGTCTAGATTGTCCTGGGGGGGTTCCGGGGCTGGGGGTCCCCATTTGATCCCTCAAGAGGATCAGATCGCACCACCAATCCCTACCGAGTAAGGGTTACCTGAGTCACAATCAAAACCCGGTATTAAAATGGTCTACCCAGAACCATGTAAGAATTAAGAAGGCGGCCGCAGCTATTTATGGCTGGGATCGTCCCTTACTTATCTTCATCTACCCGGGTTTTGATTGTGACTCACCCGAAATATCGGCCTCTCAACTCAAAATGACCTGACAGTCGCTTGCGAGCGCACGTGGTCTTGGCTTCTTGGATGGCATCCTTGAGCACCAGAATCACACCGCCTGACGCAGTTACGCGAATCCGTCCCGAAAGAAACGGTTCCAACAAAAGTCGTGGTCAAAATCGATTTTGGAAGGTAGCCTTTGTTTCCCTTTTGAAGGTCACACAAAAGGAAGAAACAAAAACATGGCATCTCGTGTTTGAACAATTGTTGGATGGCTAAAAACAAGCTGTCGCACATGAAGTAATCCTTCAATGGCGTCTCAAACCAAAAAATATTGCAACTTCTTAGAAGCAATTTACACGAGCCACGGTCAGAATATTTGGATGCAAATGAGCTGCAACCAATAAGTCCTAGGATTCTACCCAGCTGATTGTGCTTTGGTGCAAGCGATCCATGCCCATCTTCGCTCGGACTGAGCCTGTTTTGGAGATTATCCGGACGAGAACTGACATGAAAGCGGGGTAAATGACATGGCCGGCAAGCCTATTGTGAGGCTCGGTGCCAATCTTCGGGGCAACCGCGAAATGTAACGGAACCCCCCCGGCAACATTTCAAGGCTAAGTTTGTTCTTTCGGGAGACCACGAGATGTAAGGGAACCGGGCCCCTCCCCTTCCCCCCCCCAAAAAAAAAAACACAACGGAAGCCCGTTGAAACAAAATCTGAGACTCGCTCGGCTCCCCTTCGCCCGGCAAGCCCCAACAGCTCGAAGCAAAGTCAACAGCCGCGCTTAGCCTTCGCCCATCATCTTCTCCACCTCCGCCGAGGACTCCATCTGCTCCGCCTATTCGATCCGCGCAGGCGAAGACATCGAGCCAGCGGAAGAAAAAAAAAAAAAAAAAACGCGGGGGGGGGGGGGGGGGGGCGCAGGGATGTGACGGAGGTCATATTATTGTTTGGAGGACTCGGACCGAACCTGGCTCCAAACCGCCAATTGGGTCTCATGTACAAAAACGCTCTGCCGCCACCTTGAACAGGGGCTTCCCCGCATCGTTCCCGCCCTTTTCAAATGAAGAGCTTTGGCCCCACACCGAAGTGAAGCATCCAACTCTCAGTTGCCCAGCTTGGACCCAGGCATAGGTCCACCTTTTGGGGCCTTCCCTACGGCTAAGGAACCCCAGCCCGAAGGAACCCGAGGGTTCTCAACGAACTTCTCTACCTAGCCTAGCCCTTAAAGATTCCAGAAGCATCGGAACGGAACCTACAAATTCAAAAACGGAGAAAAATAAAAAAGAAGAAGAAGAAAAAAAAGAAGAAGAAAAAGATCCGGCCACTTGGTGCTCTTTCAGGCCACCGGTTCTTTCTTTTGTTGTTGTTGTTGTTTTTTCCGCATTCGCTGCCTGGCGCTTGGCGGCCATGGCGCCAGCCACACGCCGCTCCAGAAGCTTCTCCTCGCAGCTTTTTTCGGGGAGGACGGCTTGGGGCCTAAGGTTCCATCACGAAACCATGGGGGAACACGATGTTGTGTATATATATATATATATATATACACCCTGGGATTCAATTCTGTCAGTTACCACCATCTGAACAATGTACCCTGAGCCATGGTTGGAATTAGGAAACCCGGCAAAAAACAATCACTTTCTTGCCTGGTTAGTGGAAAACAATGGGAGCCCAAAAAAGCAAAAAAAAAAAAAACAAAAACAAAAGCAAGAACACAAGATTTATACCCTGGGATTCAATTTATGTCAGTTCAACAATAACATAGTATGCACTCCAAAAGTGCCTGACTGTCAGTACTGAAAAAGAACAAATCTTCGGCTGAAAAGGCACGAAGCTGTTGGTGGAAATCCATTTGTGAGAGGTGAACATATACCCTTGGAGCGGAAACCATCTTAGCTCCTGAGCTGCATAGAACCGAGCCAAAATCTTGGTCTTCAAACCGGAGTCCAAGCTTGAAGCCAAAAATTGGGTGACCTGTTAAATGGGATCTAATCTACACACATGGTCCTTTGGTGCAAGCCGTAAAATTTGCTGCCTTCCCTGCACAAATCGCTTGCTCTTCAGTTGTTTTTCGACTTCATCTTCAATCATCCCAGCTGTTTGTTGCGGGCCGAACCCACCTAGATAGCCAAGTTGCTGTTTTTGTTCAGTCACTGTTGCTGGGGTTTGGGATAAAGTGCATAGAAGAAAAACGATCGCCACTGGCCATCCAGGCAGTTGCGTTTGTTTTCCTCAGATGGAATCCAGGCCGCCGCGAAAAAGCCCTTCCTTTTCGCGTCTGGCTCCCAACCCGAAAACTGCTCTGGTGAGAAAATAAGCTCAGATGATATCCCCAACAGCATGCGGTGCTCTTTTCAGTGCTCACAAAACCTCGTGGAACCCTCGTGGAACCCTTGTGGAACCCTGGTGGAACTCTGCTGGAACCCTGGTGGAACCCTTGTGGAACCCTGGTGGAACCCTGGTGGAACCCTGGTGGAACCTTAAGTCAGGGCCGCCCCGAACCACGCCGGAGCCTATCTGGGCTGAGACCCCAAAGCTTTCAGCTGTTGGGGAAAAAGCCAGTTGCTGGTGCTCAGCAGGGAGTGAGGGAATGGACCTGGAGATTCCCCTAAAAGGAAACCACCGTTGGATCCCAAAACGGTTTTGACCCACGGCCACATCTTCCTCCCGCCTTGTCGTTGGCCAGCTCCAGGGCATCCGCCAGGTCCCGCAGCTGCTGCTGGAAGGAGACCAACTCCTCGAAGCCGTGGTTGGGGCGCGAGCGTTGTTTTTGCGGGTTCGGAGCGCTTGGCTTCGGCTGGTTTAGGGCTGGTTGAGGGTTGGTTCAGGGCTAGTTGAGGGTGGGTTTAGGCTTGGTTTAGGGCTGGTGTCGGAGCCTTCGGCTTGACACTTTCGACTTTGAAAGGAAGCTCCCAGACACTCGATGGAAGAAAGCGAGCAGCTAGACTTCGTTGGCCTTTCCGGAGGCTAGTCGGAAGGAAGCTTTTCCCAGAAAGCCTTCAAATGGCACCAAGCCTTAAGGAGTCCTGAGAGCTTCCATGGAATCGCTGGAGCTTGACACTTTCAACTAACAGCGGAAGGAAGCTGCCCCCAGACACTCGAGACAGCAGGAAGAAAGCTGCCCCAATTGAGTATGGGTGAAAATGAGTCGCCAGGAAATTGGACCGCAGGTTTTAGTGAGTCCTTTCCATTTACAGTACCCGGGCAAGCCATGTTGGGGTTCCCCCCAGTTGTGACCCCTTCCATGGACTCGCCTCGAGGGTGATTCATCTGAAAAAAATGTTCCAGGGGTGGTTATCAATCTTGGGAAGTAAAAACAGGCGGGCAAGGGCCGTGTTTTTTTTTTTCCCCAGGGCTGGACACTCCCTCGGACTAGCTTGCGGGGAACTCAAGTCTAAAGTCTTGGGGGGGAGTTGATGCAGATTCACCTGGAAACTGCCATGGTTTTATAGAAACCCAAAAAGGCCTCTTTGGGGCTATAGGAGATGCCGAAGGAACCCATCAAGGCGAGGAGAAGCTTCGTTAATCATGTTACCCCATGGAGGATTGCCACGAGGGCACACCCCCAACTTCAACCGACTTGAGGAGGTCGTAGGTAAAGCTAAAGATCGCCATGGTAAGGGAACCACGAAGTCAAAAACCGCAAGGGAAGTGTTGTCCTTTGGGTTTCCTTTAGAACCAACCAAAAAAGGGATCTCCTAAGCAAAAAAGATGACCCAAATCGCCGCTAGCTACTCGAAGTAAACACAATATCTATCCCAGTCCGACTGGGCGCCTGGCTGTTTCAGGGACGCCAGCCTGCTTGGCTGCCGTGTAGGCCTGCTTCGCAGCCTGCGCGATGTGGCTTGCGCAGAAAGAACGTCGATCTCAGTTGCTTTCTGCTGGCTATAGAGATCGTCGATTGGCAATGGAAGCTTTGGGAAACTGAAAGGAACCGAGCTCCGTTTTGAGGGGTCGATGCACCAACGTTTGTTTGAGGGAGGGGTCCGAATCCCAAAAAAACGACGAGCCACGGAAAATTTACGTGGAGTTGCGATACCCGACTCTCTGGCTCAAATCACTTCCCGAAAAAGGACATCGGCATATTTTGTGGATTGGACCGCATTTTCACAAGAGGATGTGAGGGTTGATCAAAAGGTCCGATAAACATGGGATGACCATTGACCACGCAAAACACGATATGTCCCACTAAACGGGAAAAGTGACCCATGGTCATTTAGGGGCAAGGAATATTGATCAACCCCATGTCATGCTAATGTATGTCCACCAGTTGCTGCAGGAGGTTCCGATTTTGGGGCTGGGTTGAAGAGAAGCCAACAGGAAAACGACTAATTTTGTTGGGACGCCCTCATTTGGACAATACACCCACACGACGACCCCTACCAACATTCACCAACATTCACCAACATTCACCAACATTCACCAACATTCACCAACATTCACCAAGCACCGTGGGGAAGACTAACTGGGCCAAAGCAGGTTTGGTGCGGTTGGGGGCCTAGCGCATAAGAAAAAAGGATCAAAACTTATGAACCCATGTTGTTGGTTAGTCTTTAAAAAGAAACCAAAATCACACCGTTACCATTTCGGGGTGCCACATTCTATTTCAAGAAACACCCACAGGACAAAAATGCTTCCTCAAATCTCCCCTTGAAACAAGACACCTAAAGGAAAAGAGATTAGCGGCCCAAAAGGCGATGATTCAAAACCACGGGCAAATGTGGGCACGGGAGTCGGTACCCCCCATTTTGCTGGTGTTAACGAGAAACCACAAGGAAAACCACTCTCTTTTTTTTGGGGTCCAACCTTAACAGACACACCCAAAAAAGGACTCCCCCCCCTTTTGTTCCTGGCTTTCATGAGAAACCCTACTCGTGTTTGATTGTCTCTTTTGTTTTGGGGGAGAGGGGTTCCCTTACCCAAAAAAAGAACACGAGCCACCCGGGAGAAAAAACATATTATATATATACAAAGACATTTTCGGGGGGGCCGGAGCCCTCCGGGTCGATCCTGGAGCTCCTGCGCCGCCAGGGCCGCCGCCACCGCCTCCTTGGCCATCTCCCGGCGCCGCGCGCCTCGCGAGCGAAGCGCGGGCTGGCGGGGAGCGGCACCAAAAGGGTCCGCGAGCGAGCAGCTCGCAGGTGGCTCCCGGCTCTCCCCCCCCCGTTTTCGGGTTTAGGGTGGGTTTTCTTGGTTCGAGAAAACCCCCCCGGAATTGGTCTTGGTTGGAGGATGTTGGAGGAGAAAGCTTTGGTGAACGGGAGAGACCCCGGGCGAAACGGGGTTTACTGGCGGTGGCTTTCTTGGGAGCCTGTGGAAAATCGGAGAAACTAACGTGGATGGAAAATCCGGGGATCCCAGAACTCCGAGAACTCCGAGAACTCGGCCTGCAGAAGCCCTGGTTGAGTTGATTCCCCCACGAAAATGCCCACAAACTACGCAGAATCGTGGAAGTCACAGCCACTTGTATGTGGCAAGGTTACCCCGCATGCAAAAGCAGTCCATCCACGAAGTCAACAAGTCAACATGCCCACATAAATTGGCAGCGACTTCAACAAGGTTTCATTTCGTGGGTGCGGTCAGGTTTGGAGCCCGACATCTGGTGGCTAGGGCTGGAGAAACCCCGTTGAGTCACCAGAACCAGGCCAACACACCATGTTTTCTTCCAAACAACTGTTGCGGATCGAGCCAGTTTGCAACCAGAACACTCTCAAAAATGCGAAATGCGCGTTTCGGAGGCTGTCGCCAATCTCTCTGGGAGATGGTGTGATGCAGGGTTCCGTGCGCTATGTCCCCCAAAGAAGACTCAAATCCAAGGGTTTCCCCCTTCTAGCGAAATGTCTTTCTTTAGAGGACCCACAAAACATGGGGGTGTTCTTGTTGGTTTTTAAAGCCGCAAAGCAACCGGGGGACCAAGCCGCGAAAAACGAACGAGCCACCCAAACCAACCCGGGCATTCCGCGCCTCGCAAGACCTCCAGCAGCTCTTCCGCTTCCTGGCGAAAGCCGGGTTTGGCCTCGAAAGTCCTCACTTCAGTGGACAACCACCCCCCCCTCACCGACAGCGGGGGTGAAGGGGGGTGGGGGGGGGGGAGGTTTCGCTGGTCTTCCCTACCAAAGGCAAAATGGTACCGTGAATTGAACTCCAAAAGTCATGTTTAAGGACCAAATGGGAGGTTAGGGTTGGACCCCCAAAACGGATTGTCGGTTGTACTGTCGCGACAAACACCAATCCAAAAAAACAAAATGCGAAAAAAAAAAAGAAAAAAAAAAGAAGAAAAAAAACAGTAAAAAGAAATGGGGGGAAAAAAACAAAAACAAAAAAACTCCAAACTGCATCTGGCCCCTTTTGCGGGTCTGTGTCAAGCATTTAACCAACTTTTTGGGCCTAAGGGAACCCACACGGACACCGCCCAGCTCTGCCATAGACAAGCTGCTCAAGCTGCTCAACTGGCAGAAAGAAGCTCAGCTAGGCACAACTCCCGTTCCGAGTGGGTAAGTCAAGATGACTAAACCAAACATGGGGGGGAGAGATGCGGATTGACTAGCTAGCGAGTTCCATCGCTAGCTCATTTGCTTCTCAGCCAGGCGTCTTGGCAGCTGGTCAACTGGCTGAGTAGCTAATTGGCTTTCTGCAGGCTGGTTGCTGTCGCTGATGGCTAGCTGGATGGTCAGCTACTTGGGCAAGTCAACAAGTTTCTTGTTGTTCTTTTCGGTGAAAGAGCTGTTCCAGTAGCTTTGACGCGCATGAATCTTAAAGAGCCTGCAAAATGGAGAAACTGCGTGAACAGCCACAAGCACGAAGGGACAAGAAGCCAGCAGGGTGTGGCTCAAAATCAAACAGGAGGGGCAAACCGCAGGGTTTGGTCCATGTTTCCACTTGCCAGGGCAACCCATTTTGGAATTCCGTTTTTTTGAGCCACAGCCAGCACAAGGAAAAAAACATCAACCTCTTCAAAGATCAGAGTTGCACCTGCGGAAGCTGATATCCATCATTGAAAGCCTCATGGTTACAGGACATATCCCACTTGGCTCAAGTACAAAAGCGGAAGTCCAATGTGCGACGGGCCCACGTTGGACTTGAAACAGAGGCACGTGGGTGTGCTTCCTTTTTTTAGGGACCTCCCAAAATGGTGGTGTAATGGGTGTGTCCTTTTGCAGGGGACCCCCCAAAATGGTGCTTTTTTGCATTGCCGGACTGCACAGTTTGGGAATGAACTCTTTGGGACTCTTTGGGCATCCAGCAATTTTTAGACCCTTCCTCCGACAGGTGCAACAAAAACTGAGGGAGGGTACATGCTTGGATGTATCATTGCACATGGGTTCTGTGTTGTTTCTTTTAACCAAAGCTCATGTTCAGTGAGAATCTCCCCCTAAACCCCTCTCTGAACCACACTGAACCCACCCTAAGCCCACCTTAACCCTTGACTTAGACACTGCGCCAACTTCCAAACTCCATCTAACCTCCTACTAGAACCCACCCTCCAACCTCAACCTCTGATATATGGCCATGGGTCAAAAGGTTGTACCCCCCAGTGAACATCCCAATCCCCACTAAAATAGACTAAAATGGGTGGTGCACCTATCCCAAAAATGGGATCCCATTGGTTTTGACCCACAGCCATATGGGTTAGCCTTCCACAAACACCACGCCTGGATGTCTGCATGTGGGACACCGCAAGATTGCGCCAGCCTCAGCGAAACTAAGAGCTTGGCTTTTCCTCGACCCATGCTTTTCCTCGAATGCGTTGGACAGAACTAAAATCAAAAACAACAACACTAGAAGCACCCATACGGCCAAGTCCCGATCTTTCAATCAACTGATCCATCTGTTCCTGTTCGTCAGCTGCATGTCCACCTTCAAAAGTGGCGAGCCTTGGCTTTCACTGGGACCGGGAGATGACATAGACAGAAGGTAAAGAGAGGCGGGGCGGGAGAGAATGTGGCTGTGGCTCAAAAAACCGGAATTCTAAATTGGGTTGCCCTGGTAAGTGGAAACATGGACCAAAACCTGCGGGCATCTCTTCACTGTTAACTGCCTCTCTGTCACTCTTTCCTTATCCTTCCCTTCCCTTTCCCCTTGCACATCCATGACTCACAAACAACCGCAGGGCAAATCAGCAGCGACTATGGGCTCAAGGCCTTGCTTTGCGAAGCCCTCATTGAACCCGATTCTCACTTCCGATCGAGTGGACTGGTTAAAACAAACAAAAAACTCTACTTGCTTACCACTAAAATGGTCCAAACCCAAAAGTTGAAGTCAGGCAACTCAGGAAGTTAATAGATCAGGGAGGCGCCTTTACTAATTGACCAACAGAGACTTTGAGAGCGCTATCGATTGCATGAGCTGTCTCGATTGCACGTAGAAAGCCCGAGTCCTGGCTGAGGTCTCACCAACAGCTGCAAATAAAGGCTGCACTCTTTGCACGTAGACTTCCCAAAAACGACGCATGCGTTCCCGAAAACAAAAACGGAAGGGCCTTTAGGAGGAAGGGACTTCGTTCAACCAAAAACAGAGAGAGAGAGAGAGAGAGAGGGAGAGAGCGGGAGAGAGAGGGAGAGAGAGAGAGAGAGAGGCAGAGAGCGGGAGAGAGAGGGAGAGAGAGAGAGAGAGAGAGAGAGAGAGGCAGAGAGAGAGAGAGAGAGACAGAGAGAGAGCACCATCTGGCAGGTGCTGGATACCGAGCGCGGCGCGGGAGCCACGCCTCGCCATCATAAGTGCTTTTGGCAAAATATATGGCCCTGGTAGATGGAATCAAACCCATCTAAACCAGTAGAACCCATCTATTTTTAATCAAACTAACCGATCAAAAGGAACACCTATCTTCCTGGGTTATATTCTGGTTGGGACTTTTTCCACAAATCCAACTCTTAACTCTAAACAGCTACAAAAAGTTATGCTCGCCCTCCAAAACCCCGATTTCGGTGGTCGCTTCGTTTCTGGGCCACCGCGCTGCAGCGCCGCCTCCAGCTCCGCGAGGCGAGCGCTGAGGCTGTCGCCCTCGGACTTCACCAGCTCGCGCAGCCTGGAGACGGCCAGGTGGCCACCCAGAAATCAGTCAGAACCCCCCCCCCCCATGGTTGGGGTGGGGGTGGGGTGGGGTGGGGTGGGGGAAAAAAATGTAGAAAAGGCTGATTTCAGGGGGTAGGGGGTAGATGGTTGGGGTGGGGGTGGGGTGAATCTGCATCTCAAAATATGGTAGGTCCTCCAGAGAGGTTAGAACAAGGGTACGCTTTACTTCACGGTGGCTGTGGCCCACCAAAACGTCCGAACCCATGTGAATCTGGCTGAGGTCCACCCATGTGAATCTGCCATGGCTCAAAATCCAAATCGTGCCCCAGAAAACATCCGATTCAATCCAACCACTAAAATCGGCTCCAAAATGGGTGGTGAATTCACCACCAACCAAAATGGGATCCAAAAAAAGGGACCGGCATCCAAGACCCAAGAAGGGCGCCTTGGCTAAGCCTTGGGCCCGGGAGGGCGAGGCGGGTGGGCGGGTGGGCATGTAGCCCAGGGGTTAACTTATGAATGACCAGCCCCGGACACCCTAAGGTAAATCTATGGTTCAGGGATCCTTACAAGAAAACACCGGAACATTGCAACTTGTAAATGGTGGTGTGCAACTTTGTTTTGGTGTTGAAAAAGCAACATGTTTCAATTGGTTGCAAAATGTATCTTTTAAGGACCCGTAAAGGAAAGTCTTTTCAGTGGTTGGACATTCTCCGAGAATCTGTGACACAAAAGTTGTTTAATGTCCCCATCACGCCTGTACCCCTTCAAAGATCCATCCTTCTGGGCCACATCTCCCCTAGGTCCTCCTGTAGAGAGGATAGAATAAGGGTACCCTTTTTCTGTAGTCTATTTTAGTAGGGGAGCCCCCCAACCCAAAAAGGGGGTTAAAAAGGGCACCTAGCTGGGGAACCCGAGCGCCTCATTTTGGCGTTCTCCCTTCGCGCGAGCTCCGCCAAGATCTTCTTCAGGCACTCGTCCGCGGCGGCTGCGCACAAAAAACAAAGAGCGACAGCACGGAGACTAAGGAGAGCAAAAGGCAACCCGTCAATTTTAGGCCAACACATACGGACATTGGCGAGAAAATTTGTGAACTGGCCAAGACACGAAGGAAAAAAAGGCCCAGACTCCAAGAAGCTAAGAAGCCAAGAAGCTAAGAAGCTAAGAAGCCAAATAAAGAAAAAGCCCGTATTTAAAAAAAAAAAAAAAAGCAATAGCCCTCCCAAGGAAGGCAAAGGCAACCCGTCAAGTTTAGGCTGGCTCCCCTATATCGAGCCAACACATCCGGACGTTGGCGAAATATGCAAACTGGCCACAACACGAGGAACAAATCATTGCATAAAGGGGAAACGGAAAATCCCCCCGTTTAGCCCGGAACAGAATCCACTTCGCACCACCCGGAAAAGAACTTACTCCAGTTCGGCTTGTTCCAAAATGTTGGTAGGTGGTTCTGTGGTTCTGCCACAAACAGTCACTTTGAAATCGAAAGAGGGTCAAACCTGTCATAACCTTGTTCTAAGCCAAAGTGGTTGATTCCCATCCCTATCACTTTGTCACGTTGAAGCAAAATCTTACCACAAAAAGGGTCCAGGAAATCTATGCACTGCAGGCCTTGCAAAGCACCAGTCGTGTGCAGAGAAACGTGTCTGTAAAGCAATGACTCCAAGTTCAGCCAAACCTCAATTGGCGGTTTGGATTTCCAATCGACTCTAGACCAAGGGATTGAATCGAGCCAACCCAAACCGCCGAACCAAACCTGGCAGAGTGGCTTCAACAGGCCGCCCAGGTCGGATTTTTCGAGCGCACGGAAGCCGAAGCGAAGAAGTATTTAGCTTGACCTTGACCTGGAAGCCACGGCCCAAAATATGCGACTTGCCGCCAAACTCGGGCCGACACATGGGGGGGGGGGGTTGGGGGGGTTGGGGGGGGGGAGGGGACCCACAAAGTGGGCGGTGTCCCATTGGTCTCTGCAATTGATCACTGACCCTTTTGACTCTACATGTCATGACGTTGCGGCTCGCAGAGGGGGCCCCTTCTTTTGCAGCCAAACCTGTGGCGACCAAGCCATGGACACTTTTCCTTGAGGAGGAAAATCAGCGCGTGAGCCATCGAGGGTGGCTATTGCAGTCTCCCTGCAAAACAATCTTACAACGGGAAGCCTCCACAAACACGCATCGGAGAAAGTGAACTAAACTACTGGACCGTTCCCAAGCAGTGTCCCTCCTGGCCTATCACATCTTCTGCCACGCCCACCTGCGAAATCACCGACTTGTCATGGCATGTCTCCTTTTAGGAGACCCCCCAAAAAAATGATTTGGCTCTCCTTTTGGCTTCCCTTTAAAACCGCTGAAAAACGGGTACCCCCAAAAAAGAAAAACCGACCCATGTGGGCAATTGAGGAGCTCCACCGTGCTTGGATTTCAGACCACCCCGGGTCCGCCAGGTGGAAGAAGGGCCTTTTAGTGTGAAATGGCCATGGGTCAACAGTGAACATCCCAATCCTCACTAAAATAAAGCCTCAAATGGGTGGTGCGCCTACGCCAAAATGGAGCCATAGGTTGTGCCCTACAGCCAGTTTGTTTGGAAGGGGGTCTGAAGCCCTCCCAGAGAAGTTGCAAAAGGATTTTTGTTCTGACCCTGGATGGGTTCTAACAAGGCTCTAGGATGCGAAAAACCCAGGGTTTGTCAGAACCTGTTTAGGAAGCCCTCAAGAAAATGGCGGCAACTGAAGGTCTGTCAGGATGTAGGTGTGTTGTTTGTTTCTCGGCACGCCTTTTCAGGCTGGTTCAAAGGGAAGCAGGAAGGAAAACCGCCGTTTTGGGCGCTTCAAATCCCTATTTTGACATGCCCATCTCCAAAGCTTGGGAGTCTGGCAGAATCCGACGCCAGTCGAGCGATGGCAATACGCAACTTGGTCTTCCTATTTTCTTATCAAGCCGAAGGCTTTCCGGGAGGAAACCACGTATTTGTTCAGGTGTTTTGGGCCTTCGCATGCTTTAAACGCGCGTTTCCGGAGGCGGGCGGCATGAGTTCTGCTGTTGATTTTATTTAAGTTGAATTGCATTTTGCTGATTTGAGCGAGGCGTGTTTGGGTGGGCGTCGCTGCGAAACATCCCCAGCAATAGTGTGCTGTTGAAAGTCTATGTTTCGGATATTTGAAGGGGGGTTGCTGTCATCCATGTATGAATGATTTTGGGAAACATCGGTTTTTGCATTGCCTGCATTCCCTGCATTCCCAGCACTCCTGCCATCCCCAGTGTCCGGCCAAACTCATGACATGCTGGAAATGAGCCGTGTGTCTGGCCTGGAACATCCTGATGACTTCGACAAATGAACGACTTTGCCGGAACAAGTTGTAGCGATTATGCAACATATTCCCACTTCGTGGCACTTGAGAGCTTGGAGTCCTCCTGGGCCCACAACAAAACCTCCCCGGCAGGCCTCCTTTGCATGCAGCATGGCACGACGGATCTCCTGAAGAGAGTTCTCCAGGCACTAGCGATGCGAAAGACTGGAGGCAAAGGGCCAAGCCATGCGATCTTGTTTTTGCACGGGATCCGCTTTTGAATTGGTGAAGAGGAACTCACATAGGCTCCTTCTGGGGGAAATAGATGGGTTCCCTGGTAGATGAGTAAACCACCTGGTAAACCAGGGCCATCTATTCTATTGCCAGAACAACCAAAAACGACACCTATGGGAACTCACCTGAACCACGCCCATTTCAGGAAACTGTCAGCGTCTCTTTCGGGACAAGTTGTGAGGCACTGTCCAAGCAGACTTGCAGGGCCTCTCGCTGAAGTTTCAGACTTCCTGGTGGCTCTTGGAGCACAGGTGACCTTACTTTGGAAAAATAGATTGGACACTCCCTGCTAAATGGAAGGCATAAAACTCATCTAAACCAGTGGAACCCAAGTATCTGTAACAACCCCCCTCGCCTAAAAAATGAACAGAACTGAAAAGACGAAAACTTGCCAAGAACAGTGAGGACAATCCTCGTACCCTCTCTTGGACACCAAATGTGTTCAGCAAACTAGAGAGCGAGCGTGTCGCATGGAACGGCAAACTGCATCAGAATGTAAAACACTCGACACAAGGGGGGATGTCCAGGTGGTAGGTGGGTTAATAAGGGCGAGTTTGACGTCGGGAGATGGTTTCAAGATAGAGGAAGGATAGGGTTGGGGAGGGATTAAGGCGGGATTAAATAAGATAATTATGGGTTTTGAAATGATTGTGGACTGAGGCTGGTGTGTTTAAGGCCGGTTGAGGCCAGAATGGGTGGAGGGTCAGATTTGGAGTTATGCTTTACGGTCGGTCAAAGTTGCTGACTAACACGGAACCCACCGGAGTGTCCCTGCTAAAGGAAATGGCCATGGGTCAAAACCCCTTTTCCCCCAGTGAACGCCCCAGTCCCCAGTAAATAAAGCCTAAAATGGATGGTGCACCTATCCCAAAATGGGATCCCATTGGTTTTGAACCATGGCCATAAATGGATTTCGCAACCATCCGTCGTATCCTAGGTCCTCCAGTAGAGAGGATAGAATAAGGATACCTTGTTTTTTGTGTAGTCCATTTTAGTAGGGGAATCCTCCCAACCAAAAAAGTTGCTAAAAGGGCACTACTGGGGGACCCAGTATCTCTCACGTCGAAGCCCAGCTCTGCATCGGCTCTCAGAGCTCCTCTGGCTCCGCGTGAGAGCAGGCCGTCTGGAGGTTGTGCCTCAGAGGGTGTTCCAACCTGTGATCATAGCCAAATGGCGGTGACTTGGAAGGAAGAAACCAACAGGAAACCATAAGAAGCCATAAGAAGCCAACAGGAAACCAACAGGAAACCAAGAAACTAACAGGAAACCACAAGAAAAACCAACAGGAAGCACCTAAATTGTGCTTTTTCTTTTTCTCTTTGGACCCCAAAATGGATCTCGGGCTTTTCCTTGTAGCTTCCCTTTAAACACCACCAAGGGGCACCGAAGAACCAAAACAACCCACACCCAAATCAGCGCAGCCTCCACTTTGTTCCCCAAAACCCCAAACCCGAAGCGACCTGACGAATGAGCCCTCGACTCGGCGGCACTCCGGATCTGCGCGCGTGCCATTTCGGTCACAAGTCGAGTTTTGCATCTCTGGGCGTGCCTTTTGAGGGCATTCGCTTTCTGGTTGACTAGGTTCTCCAGTAGAGAGGTTAGAATAAGGGTACCCTTTTTCTGTAGTCTATTTTAGCAGGGGAATCCTCCCAACCAAAAAAGGGCAAAAGGGCACTACTGGGGGACCTAGTTGAAGGGAAACCAAAGGAAACTTGCAGAAACCTATGAGTCTCCTCATTTGAGAAACCAACTTCCAACCCGTGCAAACACCAAACCTCCATCTCCACGATCTCGTGCAAGACCTGCACCGCGGCATCGATGTCCTGAACAGGCCGCTGCGGAGGGGGGTTGCGGGCGAATTCTCACGTTGCCCCCTTGAAACCTCCAACGAAGACTGGAGGGGTTTGGGGGGAAGGAGGAGGGGGGTTGGGGGCGGGAATTCTCAACCAGGGGAATTCTCAGCTGGCGGGCTTTGGGGCTGTCTTTGGGAGATGGCAGACGCAGTTTCATGATAAGCGTGTCTCACTCGCAAACCCAGCCTCTTGGGGGATGAAGTCTTCCTGGCGACCGCACAACATTTCTGACTGGAAGTGGGCACGAGGCCTTTTCAAGATCGTCTGCCAAATCTCCCGGTGTGCATTTATGATCGCTGGAAAGGGGGTACACAACTCAAAAATGGATCGTCCCTCAGCATCCGAGATGCATCCCATTCACTCTGTCACATTCACGCCACCCCCACACACCAACAAAACCTGCTGCCAAAGGGGTCTACCAATACCACGCAAAGAATGCAAAAGGTCAAAGACTGGCAGTCCCCGCTCAAACTGCCCGGGTGCTAGCCCCCAGCCCTCCAAAGAATGGCGCGGACGCTCCAACAACCATAAAAAAAAGTTTACCGATTTCGCGGCCCTGGGGAGCGATGGCCATCCCGGGATTTCAACTGAAACCCCTATGCAAAACATGACTGAGCTTCCTTTTCTCCACTCGCTATTGCTCATGGCTGCATTGCAGGCTATCCTTGGTGATTGGAAAACGGAGACCCATTTTGTAGTTTTGGCGGGCGAAGGGCGGCCTTTTTCTCAAGTTGTCTTCGGCAAGGTGAAGGATGAAGCAGTCGGTTGGGATGAAGCAGGCAAAACGACAATCCCACTGCTGTCAGTCACAAGATCGGCGCCCTCCGCCGCCTGAGCGGACTGCAAGCAAATCTCGATCTGCTCCTTGCTCCGCATACTTCGGGCCTTCTGCAGAGCCTAGGCTTCAGGCCGGGTGAGACAGGCTTCCACTCAACTGGGAGGGCTTTCCCCAAACACAAATAAATACTTCTGGAAACCCCCGCACGAGCCGTCGCATTCTGAAACAGAAAAAAAAGAAGGAGAGCTCCTAGTCTTAGCTCCGTTTCTTTCCCAGGTCCCTGCTCCAAGGACTGATTCTGGTCGCGGGCCTCTCCATGTTTGATCATACGTCGTATCAATAGCCTGGTTCATGGCAGTAGAAGAATCTTCTTGCAGGGGGCACAGCTGCACTCCATGCACTGAATCAGTGAATCGCCTTGAGACTGGCATGCCTTTGCGTTCTGCATAACTTGGAGCCACACCCGCAATGCTTCTGCTCGCCGTTGTGACTCCCGTTCTGCTTCACGTGCAGCTCGTTCTGCTTCTTCACGTGCTTCTCTTTCTGCTTGTTCACGAGCTTCTCTTTCTGCTTTCTCACGAACTTCTCTTTCTGCCTTTTCACGAGCTTCTCTTTCGGCTTTCTCACGTGCTTCTCTTTCTGCTTTTTCACGAGCTTCTCTTTCTGCTTTCTCACGTGCTTCTCTTTCTGCCTTTTCACGTGCTTCTCTTTCTGCCTTTTCACGTGCTTCTCTTTCTGCCTTTTCACGGGCTGCCCTCTCCCGTGCTTCTTGCTCTGCTTTCTCACGGGCCTCTTCTTCTCTTTTCCGCTCGAGCTCCGCCTTTTCTCTCGCCTCTTCTGCTTCGTCCTGGGCCTCTGCTTTGGGTCGGGCCTCAGCTTTCGCCTCTTCACGCTCGGCTGCTTCTTTGGCAAGCCTCAAGCTGTTGGAAATCCAGAAGGACGAAAGATGAAACCTCAAGCCCATCAAAACGCCGACAACCGCCGTTCAGACCAAATCAAAACGTCTTCAAGGCCTTGATGGAAAGCTGCATTGATACCCAGACCCAGAGACAGCTTAGCATAAGGGTACCAACTTTTGTCTGTAGTCTATTTTAGTAAAAGGGCACCTAGCTGGGGGACCTAGTTTTCTGTGCTTCCTGGCGGTCGGTTTTTCCGAGTGCCCCATTAGATCCGCATCCACGCGCCTCTCCTCCTCCTCTCTCAACTCTTGCTCACTTGGGCCTGTCAAACTCATCCGGACGCCATGTGGGGCTTTGTGCGCTAAGAGTTCGACCGTTGCAATACAACACAATACAACACAACATAACATAACATGACATGATTTGATCTAACATGATAAGATGTGGTATAGCAGTTCGATAAGTTAACATCGTGTTCTCATATGTATGTCGTATCATATGATATTATATCAGAAGATGATGCGATGATGTATTATGTGACATGACATGACATGACATGACATGACATGACATGACATGACATGACATGACATGACATGACATGACATGACATGACATGACATGACATGACATGACATGACATGACATGACATGACATGACATGACATGACATGACATGACATGACATGACATGACATGACATGACATGACATGACATGACATGACATGACATGACATGACATGACATGACATGATATTATATGAGATGAGATGAGATGAGATGAGATGAGATTAGATGAGATGAGATGAGATGAGATGATGGCATCACGTAAAACAATAAAATATAATGCAATTCAAAACAATGTCTTGTCATGTCATGTCATGTCATAAATGATATGATATGATATGATATGATATGATATGATATGATATGATATAGTATGATGTTAAATATTGAATATGTATATATATATATATATACACACGCTTGAATGTGTGTGGCCAGGCACACAGTTGATGCAAAACCCCCTGCAAGTAAGCTTTGGCAACCTTCCCCCACACGGATCGACGCTTGCCCCCTCAAGATGACCCGTCAGCCAAAGTCGTGGTTCTTCTGCGGAGGGCTGTAATTGCTTCCCCAAACGCTGCCGAGCTGAACAACCAGAAACACGGCTTCCCCAGATGTGGCTCAAATTTAAGAGCTAGGGTTACGCAGGTGGTCTTTGTTTCCGTTTACCTAGGGACCATTTCGGGTACATCTTGTTGCACATGGCCATGGGTCAAAAACCCGTATTTTCAGTGAACATCCGATTCAATCCCCACTAAAATAGGACTAAAATGAGTGGTGTACCCACCCCAAAATGGGATCCCACTGGTTTTGACACCCACAGCCACATGGCAACACCTGGGGAAAATTCTGACCGCGGGAGGCACTGCCGGGACTGTTGGACCCAAGCTCAGAACAAAAACGGCCACTGCATCCAAACGAACAAAAAGCTCCTTTGGCTCTCAGGTCGTTTTCGGCTCCCAGTATTCGGCCAAACGCTTTCGGTGTTCCGCGGGAAAACCCGAAAACGGCCCATGGTGGGTTAACCCTTTTGTGTGTTTGTTTTTTTTTTACAGGGAAAAACAGAAAGCCATGGCCCACCCTGGTGCATGTGGGGGTTGGGCAAAAAACAAAGATGATATGTCCCACGAAAAAAAGGAAAGTGAGCCTTGGTCATTCGGGGGCCGAACGGAATATTGCTCAACCCCCATTTGTTTGACCCAATCTTGCCATCAACCCTGGCCTTTTGCCCGGCTGTTGCGCCCACCGGCGCACCTCCACCCCCCCGGCCCCGAACGCGCCTGGCGGCCTTACGGCTTGCAGCGCGTCCGAGGCGACGCAAAAAAAAGAAGAAGAAAACGCGGTCGGGCGAATTCGCGGCTCGCTCAAAACCGCACAACCATTTTTGAGACCACAGCTTCAGTCCTGTCCCGTCAAGGAAAATTGGCCAGGCTCCTTGTGCCCTCTGGCCCAAAAGACTATTCGCTACTCCGTCCTCAGATCCCCGGCCAAAAGTTTCACTAGTCGAAACGGACACCCAACCACTAAACCAATTAAACATTTCTACAAGCCTAAGGAACCGGACGGCTGAGAACCACCAAGGCTAGACTGGGACTTTGCGCGTGCTCAGGAATCGGGATCAAACTCCGAGAAGTCGGGCAGGCCGCCTTCCGTCGGGGGCCCGCCGATCTCCTCAATGATCTCCTTAGCCCGAAACAAAAACTCAAAAAAAGACGGCACACCAAACCTGAATCGACTTTGAGGAGGCTCACCCCCAACCCCTGGTCCTCTTTGAAGGGACTTTCAAAAGGTCGTTTAAGAAATGGTTGAAACCATGCATAGAAAGGGTTCTTCACCCAAAACAAAACACCACACGTGCCCCTCGGAGGCTCCTTTTTCGAACCCCCGCGAGAAAAACAAAAGACGGAGAAAGAAAGACGACTTCCAGATCCTTCCTTCCTTCCTTCCTTCCTTCCTTCCTTCCTTCCTTCCCTCCCTCCCTCCCTCCCTCCCTCCCTCCCTCCCTCCCTCCCTCCCTCCCTCCCTCCCTCCCTCCCTTCCGCGTTTTCCGCGCGGATTCTTCCCGCACAAAAAAAAAGGGCGCGCGTCTTCGGGAAAAAACCTCACAGCGCCCAGCGCTCGCTCGCAACGCTTGCGCTCGCTTGCGCGAGGCGCGTTCTGCTTCACGTCCAGGGGGATGCTGGCGTCGTGCTGCCGCTGCGCCTCCTGCTCCGCGCGCTCCGCCTGCTCCCGCGCCAGCTGCTCCGCGCGGATGATCCCCTGCTCGCAGGCCTCACGCTCCTCGGAAAAGGAAGCTCGACGCGCCGGGGGGGAAAAAAAAAGACGTGGCTTCGATTCCTGGCCATCCGGTTCTTTGGCTTCTTGGCCTTTTCGTGTTTAGTGCTTGGAAATTTCGAATTTTACCCACTAAAAGTACCTTTTGATATTTGGCTGTGGTTGTCAAAACCGTTTGGGATTCCATTTTGGGTGGTAGGTGAATTCACCACCCATTTTGGAACCTATTTTACAAGACACAACCACTTGGAGGCAGAGCCGGCCCCCACAACCCTGAAAACATGTTTTGCCTTATTCGGGTTCTCAGAACCCAAGTTAAGAAGGTGTCCCAATTGAGGAGCTTCAAGGCGTTCCTCGGGGACCCTGTCTCATGACAACCTTGTCTCATGACAACCTGTGTTTCCCACCGGTGAAGTGCATCCCGCGAACAGGGGCTTTGCTTCTGCCTGGATCGCCAGTTGCTATCACTTTTTCCATGCACCTTACCCCGAAAAACGATCGCAACAGTGACTGCAAAACACAAGCAGCAACTTGGCGATCTAGGCAGTCATTTTGGAAATCCGCCTATTTTAGTACACGCCTTCAGGGGCTTTGTTGATGGTCTCTACTGTTTCCCTAGGCAACAACTTCTGGGCACACCCAGCTTCAAGCCAGGCACCCCAGGCACCTTCAACCCAGCAGAAGCTGCAAATGAAAAACTGATGCCAAATGACCTCCGAGCCCACGTAAATCATCGACGAGGTGTCTTAAAATAGCGGACCCCCCCCCCCACGGTTTTCCCTTTGGTTTCCTTTGGCATTTTTTGTTCGCCCAGCACAAAAGTCGCCCTCATCTCGTCCCAGGCTCGTGCTGATCCTGCTGATGGCATGGGGAGGGCGCGCGGGGCGCCTCGGTCTCAGTCTGCGGGGCCTCAGTGGGCGCCTGAGTGGGCGCCTGAGTCTCTGGGATCACCGTGGGCATCGGCACCTCCACGACTTCCTCTGGCTCCTCTGGCACCTCTGGTACCTCTGGTATCTCTTGAAGGGAACAAGGCCCAGATGAGAGAAAGAGGATCTGGAATGTTGGGTCGCTTCGTCGCTTCTCGCCTCCCTCTCACCTATATCTCACCCCATCTCTTTCTCTCTGTCAAGCATGGGTGTGTGAGATAAGGTTGAGAGAGGGAAAGGAATGGGAAGGAAAGTTGTCTATCATCATGTCCTAACGACCAAAGGGAGAGAGATGCGGACATGGTCCTTGTCTAGGATTCCCCAAAATTGCGGCTTGCCTTTTGGCTTCCCTTCGAAAAACAACCAAAAACCTGGCCTGCTCAAAACCATCCGCGCCTGAGAATCGTTGGGACTATCCCCCTCAACTTTCATCCACCCGGGTTGTGATTGTGGCTTGGAAAAATCATGGCGGAGGTTTGAACAACCAGGGTTGGTGGGTGGTTGATAAGGTGAGCCCGGGTCTTGCCGTGAATGGCTCAAAAGGATGTGGCACCAGACATCCCAAAATCCCACCTGCAGGTTCAATAGGATGACTGCCACTAGGGCAAGCCATACACTTTCAGGTGCCAAGGTTGGTGCCAGAGTTTGGCGCAAGAAAATATGCTCCTGCAAATGTCTGTGCACAAAGTCTGTATTACAGAATCTGTCAAAGAGTTTCCAGGCAAAAGCTTCGCCATCCACGTCTTTATGTGTGTCCTTCTGTGATCGTGCTTCAGTGTTGCGAACGTTTGCGTCGTCGCTCCAATTCTGTATTTTGCACACTACTTCCGTGACTAAAACATTGCAACCTGCCAGCTGGCTGCAGGAGTACTCGTCATGCTACTGTGTACTGCGACAGCTGCGATTTTCTGAAGCTCCAAGAAGTGCACTTTGACCTTGGCACTTCACATTACGAGCGATCTCGTCCTTTCAGAGCCTGGGCGGCGCAGGAAGGACCGAGCTGGGATTGATTCATTGATTCATTCGCTCGTATCAAAAGTGGTCGTTCAAGCCTCGCAGGGCGCGCCAAACGAGGAGCCACCGGGGGAAAAGAAAAGGTGGTGGTGTGAGCTCGTGTCGCAGCTTTTCGGTATTTTGAGCGGTCGTGCGCGTCAGGAAGACACCAAGCTGAAGCAGGGGACAAGTTGGTCCAAGTCAGCAGGCACCAGGACACGTGGGGAGAAGGTGAGAAAAGTGGAGGGATGGGTCGGGAGACAGCAGGGATCCTCCTTTTTGGGGGGGACCCACAAAACGGAGGGGTTTTCCTTTGCGTTCCCCATATGGAGTGACCCAAAGTGTTTTTCTATGTCTATATTTTCCCCGTCCCTTTCTCCGTGAAAGGGATCCAAGGGAAGATATGATTGAAAAAACGAAGGATTAGAGGAATAGATAGGAAAGGAGTGATACGGATGAAGAAAGAAGCCCGTCCAGTCATCTTCTTCTCCTTTATCATTCCAGTCCCTCACTCTTTATCATTCATAAGCTTGGGAAAGAGAAATCCCAAGATGAATAGAGAAAACAAAAATAGATAGTAGTTGAAAAATAAGGCTCTCTTCTCTCTTCACTTCCTTCGTGCTCGCGAATCAATCAAGACACAGAGAGAGTGAGATGATTTTGATGCAAGTGGTTTTTGGTGGGTTGGGGTAGGTGAAACCATGGAAATTCAAGCTAGCAGGGTTATAACCGTGGTTCAACATTGGTTGGGATCCACCCGTTTGTCTACATCCGTTTAACACGGAACCCCACCACAACACACTCTCCCCCCACCCACCCACTCATGTACGTCCCAGGCCCTGGCCATCACCCAGCAGATCAGCGGATCTCCAGCGGATCAGCGGATCACCCAGCGGACCAGCAAATCAGCAGATCAGCCAGCGGATCAGCGGATTATGCAGCGTATCAGCAGACCAGCGGACCAGCGGATCAGCGGATCACCCAGCACATAGCGGATCAGCGGATTAGCGGACTAGCGGATCACCAGGGAATCAGTGCATCGCCAGCGGATCAGCGCATGAGCCGGATCACGCAGCGGTCACCCGGCGAGTATGCTCTGCTGGCCAAGGTAGCCGGTCACCTCCGTGAAGTCTTTCGGAAACGGAGTCGGCTCATATTCTCGTCCGGCTGATAGGGTGTCCGTCCGCATGATGAGACCCGGTCTCCGACCACTCCGTGGGGATGAATTGTGTGGGGCGCATGTTGCACGTCACTTGCAAGCTGACAGGGCTGGACTCCCGCGCGAACCCCGGTCTTGGTTGACCGAGCTGAGGAAGAAGCTTACAAAGTGACAATTGGTGCGGGTTCACCTTGCTGGCCTTCTTGCCGTCCTTCCCCGCACTATTGTCTGCCAAGAGCCCAAACGCAGTCAAGAAGGCATAGGCCTCATCAAGGTTGCCCAGAACTACCACCACGCATCCTGGCGCTGAAGTTGCTCAAACAAAAAAAGGTTGCGCATTTTGGCATGACTGGATGAACTCAGAGCAAGCTGGTCACACCCTTGCCAAACCCAAAGCCACGCCTCCTGGCAGCCCCTCCGTCCAAGCCACATCCTATGTTTGCCTTCAGCTTCCTTGGCTTTTCTACTTCTTTAGTGTCTTCCAATTTCCATACTAACAACTGGGACAACAACGAATAGCCCCGCAAGCACTCCCTCCTGTTGGAACTGGATTTCTTGCTGGACCTTCTTGCGAATGATGCCGTTCAATTCCCTCGCGCACTCCTCTGCGTGGCCTGTCATTGAAGACTTTCTTGTCTGCGCATAGTTGACTCGACATTGACGCAGAAGGAAACAAGCGCATTGCAAAGCGGAACTCAGTGGGAAGCCCTCACAGCGTAGGTCTGGGTAAAGCGGTGGCATGGGCTCGTGAGGATGTGCACCAGGTTGAAGACACGATCCACTTCGGCATGTCGGCCAGCTGCTGCGAGGGCGCAGTCAGCAAATACGCGGCCGTGATGCCCACGACGGTCCAGTTAGACTCGGGGAAGCGGGAGCGCTCGAGCGCAACCTCGAACTTCGTCCTGATGGCCGCCATCATGGTTCCGGCGCGGGCCGGCGGAGGCGCGGGCCTCACGATCCACGGCTTCATGGCCGGCAAGTATTGCCGGCCCAAGTTAGACTGGGACATGGCGCCGTGTCTGTCAAAAAGCACTTGAGTCACTTTGGCTGCGGGGTTGACACGTTTGCAACATGCGCTGTCAGCAATGGGCGCCTTTCCAAGTTACCTGGGCTGCAAGAAATCACACCAAGACACCCTCTCAGCAATCCCCCACTCTTTGAAGCGCTGATTTTGTCAGCGAGACATTGACCTACCCTACCCTGCCTTCTGATCAAATAGCGCGACCTGGGCGCAGCGATTGATCGTCAAGACGTCCGGCACTAGGCGCTTTGTGGCAATCTTGCAGTCAGGTGTGTGTTGCTACAAGCAGCAACACGGGACCTGCGCAAAGTGCAATGACAAGTGGCAGGGAGCAAGTCACAGCATCACTCATGTCCTTCCCGCGGCCCACTTGTTGATAGTATCTCGAGCACGCTGCTTCCACAACTCAGTGCCTGCCGTTGCGAGGGTAATTAGCTACAGCCTGACGAGGTTTTGCAAATCGATTGAGGCTGATCAGCAGTGGCATCTCTCTAACCAGCGAGGCCACTTGCAGCGGGCTTTCTTGCTGATGAAGATTGCGCCTTGCTTAGTCGATGCAAGGCTTCTATAGGAAGCTCTTACGTTTGCTAGCAGCGCTCAATATAGACATTGCTGTTGGTGAGGTCGCCTCAGATCCCGATGCAGCTGGGCCACATGCTGAAGATTTTGTGGGCCAAATGTTGGGCCAGTCAGCGGCGCCATATGATGCAGAAGATTTCGCTGCCTTGACTCGGCAGAAGCCCCGCTCACTCTGCAACAAGCCCGCGACCTCACGTACGGATATGGGCTGCATGGTGCCTCGGTGCAGAGGAGGCTGCGCTTGCAGCAGGAGAATTGGGCTCCCGTCATGCAGGCAGCTGAAGAAGAAGGCAACGTGTTGGTGATCAAGCCTTTGTGGCTTGACCCTTCGAGATTTTTGATCGAATCAATGAACAGAGCTCACAAAGCCCTTTTCAAAAGAAAGGGAGCCTGTTCCTAAGCGCAAGCGTGGGGCAGAAGATGAGCCAAATCTCGCAGCGGAGGAGGAGCGGGGCGAGTGACCGGGCAAGCAGAGAAATTTCTCCGGCAGGGCTTTACGAGAAGGCCTAGACCTGGGAGAAGCGCTCGGGCCTGGCATGGAAGCCAAGCATGGAGACTTCAGCTCTCTTGAAACTAAGCGCTGTGCGTCTTTGGTCCAGGTGGCCGCAAGCCATCGCCGTCTTCACGGCCGTGCTGTCTTCGAGCACCCCGCGTGGCCGGAAGCGTCTGTGGATGCCAATCTGCTTTGCTTCAAGCTAGCAGACCAAACTCAAAAACACTTAGGGGCCCAGGGGCGGGGCAAAGGCAGCCAGCGGAACAGCGGTCAGCCAGTGGATCAGCAGCGGAGCGGATCAGCAGCGGAGCGGACCAGCGCATCAGCGGATCACTGAGCAGCTGCGTGTGGTGTGTTTTGGGGTTTTCCTTCCAGGTCGTGGCTACCACCACCCGAAGCAGCAGATCAGCAAGCGAACCAGCGGATCAGGCTAGGGCGTACATAAGTCCACCCACCCCACCCCCACCCACCCCACCCCCACCACACCCCGCCTCCTCCGGCAGCTCCGGCTCCGGCACCGGCGCCGGAAGCTCTGGCTCCGGCGCCACCTCTGGCACCTCCGGCTCCGCCGGGGCGCCCGGCTGGGTGTTGCAGGGCCTCCGGCTCGGGCGGTCTGACGACCGGGCGTCAAAATAGGACGCGAGACCTCAATTTTTAGGCTTGCTGTTGATAATTATCTACAACAAGTTTGACTTTTTGTGGGTTTCTGCCTTGCTTTCAACCAAAATGTAGTCTAAAGATCCAACCCAGCAGTCAGGAAACCCCAGAAAACCCTTGGAGCCAAGTAGAGGATCTAGGAAATCTCGAAATAGGAGTAATGGGCCCGGGTTGATCAACCCCTGTTTGTTTTCCTGGGGACTGACCCCCACCCCCCCCTATTCACAAACTGAGGTTGGTTAATCCGAGGTCGACATTAACCCCACAATGGGTTGCCCTGGTTGGTTGCTGTTGACCCCGCTGAAAAAAGTAATCAACTGTTTTAGGGTCCAATACCCAAAATCCGACCTGTGTCAAGCGAAGGAACCCTGGTGGAACCCTCGTGGAACCTTACCTCAGGGCCGCCCCGGACCACCCCGGAGCCTATCTGGGCTGAGACCCCAAAGCTTTCAGCTGTTGGGGAAAAAACATGAATACCTCATGAATCACCAATCAAAGGATGTTGTCCATCAACAGGGGGGACTTGTTGCCAAGGACTGAAACCTGTGGTCCAAGTCCTGACGATTGACATTTTTCTTTGTGAGAAAAGCAGTGCGCAGATACGTCGCGTGCGACGCATCTGCGAGTGATCGTCAGCTTTTTCTTGTTCCGATGCGAACGCAACGCCCAAAACATCACCAAGCAGGGTTGTGGGAAATGACCACTTCTGTGATACGACAAAAAGGGCTTATAAAGGGGGAGATTCCAACTTGTATCACAGAAGTGGTTGGATAAACCCCTTGATCCCACTGTCACCAAGGGAAACTTGGGACTCTTGCCATGGGACTTTTCTGGGACTTTTCTTGGCCCGAGAACCAGTTCAAGCGGATCCAAGCATTGAGCGGATCCGGCTCATATTGGGACTGTCTAAGGGCACAATGGACCCCATGCTTATTGGGTTTCAACATCGCCTTGGGTGTGTCAACCCTTTCCGTAGTAAAGGAAAACATGACAATCCTAGTCCCCAAAAAGGGTCTGTGCACGGCCGAATAGGAGAAAAAATCCAAACCAGACTCCTATTGGGTGAGTTTAGAGGGAGTGGGATGCCACAAACCCAACTCTCAAAGTTTGCAGCTCTCACCAAGCTGGTCGAAACCTGGACTTGCAGGAGACATAAATTGCTGCTCTGGGTAAAGTATTCAAGGGTTTGAGGTATGTATGAAAGGGATTCCGACCCCCGCAAAACTGTTTCTTTTGGGGGGGGGGGGCCCTTCCAACCAACCCAAACCAAAAAAGCCGCCCTCCAAGCCACAAACGCACCAAAAAAAAGACTCGCCCCACCCTTCCCCGCTCAAAGCCCCGCCCGCTTCCTCTCTCTCGCGCGCGTTTTTTTTCTTTCGTCGAGGCGCATGGGGCACTTGTCCGGGCGCGTGGTGTGGATTTCCAGCTGGAAGTCGAAGTCGGTGGAGGCTGCCGAGAGGCCGTGGTACCAGCCCTCGGGGGCGTTTGGGGGGGGTTGGGGGGGGGTTGGGGGGGGCCCACGCTTGGGGTTTGGGACATGGGAAAGGCGGTACTTCCCGGAGGCGATATTTCCCGAAGGAGACGGCACCTCCCGAACGAAGGATGGTCTTAAGCATCACCTTTGGGGTCAAAATGGTTTCTTTCGCCTGGGTGCTTCAAGGGAAGAGGCACGCCGGTGGTTTGCTTCTCTTCTCGGAACTGGAGCCAGAGCAAGTTGATGCCCGGAAGGCAAGTGATGATATTTCATGTGTTTGACCTGTGTTTGCAGTCGGCGTTTGCTGCAAAAAAATGGTAGATGTGTTTTGGGCTTCCATCTAAAACCGAAAGAAATTGCTGGTTTTGACACAAACCCATCGATGTCCCTTGCACAGTGTTGTGGGATTGTGCGGAGAAGCTTTCTCTGGGGTGGAAGGATTGGGGCCGAAAAAGCTTTGCATTAGGGACCGGCTTGGACACATTTTGGAGGCGCCAGACCTCATGTGTACCAGGGGGGCTGCATAGTTTGTACCATACAAAAACATGAAATGAGGAATCTGAAGGAAAGGACGCCCCTCGCATGGGCGCGCAAATCCACTGACTTTTGGTTCTGCTATGCTAGGCCTCACTGGGAACCCCGGATTCACAAACCCATCCTGTCAATAAGGGTGTGCACCGCAAAAGTAATGAACCCCCGCTAAAAGAAGGGGGTTCACTCCCCTATCAAGATAAACCAGGGCTTAACAAACTCCGGTCAAGAATAGGATTACATAGGCCGGGTAATATGGGCTGTACTACACACCCACTCAGAACCCAATCCCCATGGGAGGCGCTGGCTCCGAGGCGCCGGGTGCTCTCGGATGCCGTGCTGCTTGGCCCACTGCACGTCACTGTAGCACTTCTCCCCAGGCAGCGCGGTGTGGCAGGAGTCGACTGAGACGCAAGGAGGGGGGCACTTCCCCGGCTTGTGGCTGTGCACAATCTCCTCAGCTCGGGGTATGCGAACATGTGGTATGCGGTCGCGCTTTTGGGTGGTAATTATTTGAGGGTTCTCCTGAAAGGGGTCGAAATTTAATTGGGACTCGACATGGTGGACATCATTCAGGTCCAAGCGCTTTGGAGGGGGTTCCCTATTAAAATTCATCGCCAGGGTATGTGCGCTTTTTGTTGGTATTTTGGGGGGGCGGAGCTCTTTCCAACTTTCATGGAAGTGCATTGGGCAGAGGGTAGGCACTGGTCCAAACAAGATCCCGTAAAACCTAAAATTCCAAAAAGGAATCAAGCTTGAATAACTAGGTCCTCCAGTAGAGAGGTTAGAATAAGGGCACCATTTGTTTTCAGGACGTTTCGACACTGGCCTGGAAGTCTGCCGTCGTGGAGTCAGGCGTGAGTCCAGGATACCAGTTCGGGTGCTGCCTGATGCCTGACGAAAACCCCCGGGGTTCAAAAAAAAGTCGAAGCTGGTGGACCCTCAGCTGCTGAACTCCTCCCCAGAAAGAATCCACCAGGTCAATCCTAGGTCCCTAGGCCGAGTCTGGATCGCAGTAATCCTACTCGGGTGGGAATTTACATCCCTGGAAAGTAGAAAACTGGTATATGGTGTGGATTTGTTTTAGGGGACTTGTCTCATGGACATCAGAACTAGCTCAGGATTCAAATAACCTGCTGGTGAACCGGAAGGAGATTCCATTAAAGGAAACCAAACCGGGGATGGTTTTCCTTGAAGCCATTCCTCATTCCCGTGGCACTCGAACCAAGGAAAAGGGTCACCAACCACTTTTGGATCGATTCCACCTCTCGCCGAAAGCCTGAGCCTCCGAGGCTCAAGATCCCGGCCTTCCTTCTTGGCCCACATCACCTCCCCATAGCAGGCATCGCCCGGGACCACGTCCTTGCAGGTCATCTTCGCCACCTTCTTCTGGAGGGCGTTCAGTGCGCAGGACCTTGAGGCGCACTCATCGTCCTAGTCTTGCGAGTCACAATTAAAACCGATCGCTACAAAAATTTGGTGAACCCAGAACCATGCTTCAAAGAACTAGACAGCCGGATCTCCGCCACTCACGTGGCCCCTTTTTAGCCTCAGCACCGGCGGGCTCCCGTAACAGCGTTAGCACATCCCAACAACGTGTCGTTTCTGCGAGTCGCGGGTCGCGGTGATGGCTTGCAAAACTTGTGCACGACGAACAAGGCAAGAAGGAGAAACAACTGGTGAGGTTGAAGATGATCTTCTTCCAAAAAGAATTCAAACAACTTTGCTAAATAGATTGAAACCCACGCACGAGAATTGAGTCACAATTCAAACCTGGCATTAAAACTGTCTACTCGAACCAATGTAAAGAACTACCCAGGCGGCCTCACCTAATTCTGGTTGGAAGTGTCCCTTACTAAACTGCACTTGCCCGTTTTTGATTGTGGCTCATTTGTTGATGACTTGCCCTTAGAGATCTTAACCTGGGGTCTTGCGACCTTGGCACACGACTCTTAGCCAACGGGCACCATGCGGATGCGTTGACCAAACGATTCCTCTGCGCCTTAGCATTGAACCTTCAAAGAAAAAGCCCCAAAAAAAAGATCCCCATCCTTCATTGTTAGTTGGGCCCCCATTTTTGCGAGAGTTCCCTCACAGGGAATTCCTTGGAGCGGTGGGCGGTGCCCCTTTTGGCTTGTAACCAAAAGCGGGCAAAGCGGATGCCCGAGACATCCCCCCAACATCACGGGTTCCAAAGGAAGCTCACTGAACGATTGACCGCCAAAAAGGCGACGTTAAACCAACCCCACCGACAAGGGGTTAGTTATATGAAGTCTCTTGTTCCCACCCCAAGAAAACCAAAAACTTCGAAAACACCCATATGAAATATATATATATATATATATAGATATATATATATACAAATGAGGATATATATATACAAAAAAAAAAGATCCGTGCATCCTCTCCTCCAGGAGCGGCTCCGCGCGGGACTTGAAAAGGAGCGCGCACACCAAAGCTGCCTTCATCGCTGTGAGCGGAAAGATTTTAAAAGTTCCTAGGGCCCGTCTCTAGTCGTTGGAGGGTCCTATCGCTGGAGCCGGACAGCGAGCAAAGAGCAATGGAGAATGGAGCGATTCCCATGGTTGTTGGGGGCTTCGCAAAGAGGGGACCCCCCAAAAAAGGAACCCTATTGGCCCCCGAGAGGCCTTATTGGTCGCTGTTCGGCCCTATTGGGATTAGGGGGGGCCCTTGTTGGGCCATAGCAATAGGAGCCATAGGAAAGAATTGCAGAAAGCAAGGGAAAACAACACGATAAATATTGATTCAAGCACCCGGAGGTATGCAAGCTCAATGCTTGCCCCGGACATGGAAGAGGATACCTGAAGTGTTCAGTGTTCTTCAAAACCACAGAAGATATGGGTCTGTCTTTTTCTGAGGGAACCCCTTTTTTGGTGGGCAAACCACCCGTTTTTGATGGTACCTCGCTGGTTTCTTTTTGAAGCAGAGGAAACCAGCCTGGACGAACCTATCGGACTGAATTTCCATTGGGGGATTTCATTTTCAATGATGATTCATTCAATTATTTACTTCGGAGGTGGTTCCCTATCAAAGTTCATAGCCATAGGGGCGCCTAGATAGCGACGTTGCTGCTTTGCTCAGTCACTGTTGCTGGTTTTAGGGGCAAAGTGCATGGGGAAGAGCAAAAAAAAAAAGCAACTGGCGATCCAGGTGGTTTCCGATTGGTTTCCCTTTCACCCAACCCCAAAAAGGGCGACCCTTCGGAGAAAAAAAAAAAAACGAGCCCCCCATATCCCCGAAGCCAAAAAAAAAAGCCGCCGAGCGAGGCCCCGGGCTGAGCTTCCTTGGAGTGAGCACCCCCAAGGCCATCATCCCAAAGTCGAAGAGAGGGTCGCTAGACGCAACGTCCCACGTGGAGGAAGATGGAAATTTGTAATTACTTCCAACTGCAATATCAAGCTGAGTGCGGACCCTTCCACTCAGTCCATTCGTGCTAGAGAAATGAATGTCTCGCGTTGTCCTTCGGATTTGTGATTCACCGAAGTCAGTCACTCGCGTGCCCCGTCAGCCAGTCAGCCCTTCCTCCACCAAATCGGTGGCCTCAACTGTTGCTGAAACAACTTTCGCCACTCCGAGAAGGCTGTGCAGAGGCAAGTGTCCTCCGGTCCTCAACCAGACTCCACCTGTGTCCTGGACTACTTGAACGCTGTATTCCATTCTTGCTGCAATGGACAAAAGGTTTCCCGAAATTTGCATGTGTGACAAAAGCCACGGCAGGGCTGAGAATCGCGCCTCTGCTGGAACTTGCTCCTGTGCCAAAATGCATCTGCACACTTGCAAGCTGTACATGGTGCGAACTTGGCAAGGCTTTGTACATGTCAAATTACGTAAATCCTTCGCATCCAGGGACGGGACGACAGCCCTTTCTGAAATTGGGCCAGTCCAGTCGTTCACGAACAAAACCACGACGAGAACAGGAACGGTTTGTACTTTGTAGGTGCAGCCGATGAACGAGAACCTTGTCACTAACATTCGACAAACAAATACACTACTCATTCGGCTTCGCGCCTTCCCTTAAAGAATCATAATCAAAACCCGGTATTGAAATTGTCTACCCAGAAGCATGTAAAGAATTAAGAAGGCGGCAGCAGCTATTTATGGTTGGGGAATATGTCCCTCACCAACCTTCTCTACCCGGGTTTTCATTGTGGCTCCTTTTGCCTGCACCAACCACAGCACAGGGGTGTGTCCTTTTGTGAGGCTCGGTCCCCTTTCTGGTTGGTTTTCAAGGGAAACCAAAAGGAACACCGAAATCCATTTTGAGAGCTCCCCCAAAAAAAGGACACCCACATATCGGTGCTTGCTTTTCACTTTGGTGTTTCTTGGGATCTCTCTTTGAATTAACCGCAAGCGCAGCATCCAAACCGACACATGGCGGTGGCTCAAAAAATGGCACCCAAAATTGCACCTTGGTAAATGGAAGCAAAAACCATTTGCGGTTTGCGCCTTGGTAAATGGAAGCAAAAACTACCTGCGGTTTGCGCCTTGGTAAATGGAAGCAAAGACTACCTGCGGTTTGCCCTAGCTCTTCAATTTCGAGCCGCACCCATATGGGTACCCTCACAATGGTTTGTTTTTCTTTTGGGTTTCCTCTCAAACCAAAAAGGGTCCTCCCCAAAAAGAGACCAGCCCCACATCTTCCCCCGCAAAAACAGCAGTGGCGCTCCTCTGCAAGAGCTGCCACCACCTGCTGACTGGTGCTGGAAAAGGACTCGAGTGAATCTCACAGAGACTGCTTGCTGGTGCGACCCGGGAATCACCGAGTCCGAATTTGGGGAAGGAACTACTTTTTGGGGGATTCCCGTATAAAGGAAACCAAACTCTTGGGATCGAACCAGCATTGGCATGGAAACCTGAAACACCCGTTTACCTCTTTTCGCTTTCAGGCTTTGGATCCTGCAAGTTGCAGACGGCGTTTCGGATTTCGGATTTGCTGGCTCCACTGGGTGAAAATGGTGATAGCTTGGGAACGAAAAACCCACGGCCGCGACACGCAGAAGCGTGCATCCGACCCCGAGCTTGGTCCGGGTTCCATCAGGCAGGTCCGTGTGACCTCGACGCCCTGGCGAGCTCGGCGAAGAGATCGATTTTTGTCGCCGGGCCTCGTTGACATCAGCCTTACCGTCCAGCAACTTCGAGATGTTTTCCTGGCACAGTACAGCTGGGCTTCCCTGTCTTCATGCACCGCACCTGGGTAAACCACGCGAAATGCCTTCACAAAAATTCGGTGCCGCAAGGCTCCCAAGACCCGGCTGGCCAGGCCATGTCATGAGCACCCGAATATGTGTTAGGATTCTTCAAACTCGCACATGATTCATTTGGGTTGGTCTCAAGAAAGAAATAGGAAAAAACAGTGGGATTTTGGTGTCCCTACATTATCCCCTTTAAAACCAACCAAAAGGGGGTAACCCCCTAAAAAAGACACCCCCATGTTTCATCTGGCCAAATGGGTCTGCCCCTTCCGCTTGGATGCCTCGGGGGCCCAAATCTCTGGCTCTTGCTCTCTCGCCGTTGGGGTTCCGGCCCGACCTTGAGGCCGAAAGAGGCCGAAGCATCCAAGAGGAATGGGGCAGACCCATTCGGCCAGATCAAACACGGGGTGCCTTTTTCAGGGGAACCCCCTTTTCCTTTTGTTCTCTTTCCCTTTCCCTGATACTCCATTTGAGCACATCCTCAAAAAAAATCATTTGCTCTATGGTATTTTGCTTAAAGGGGAAACTATAACCGAGGGAGCCAGTACCTCAAAATCACCGGCTATATTAAAAATATTGCTTCAAGGGGAAAAACCGCCACGGGGCCCTCGAGCGAAACGGAAAGCTTCGAAAAATAAACTCCGCGCCTGCGTGCCGCCCAACTCCACCTCCGGCTGCACGGGATCCTGCCCGCCCGCCCAACCCTCGGCTCCAACATGGGTCACAAGCCCGTACCCCCAGTGAACATCCCAATTCCCCACTAAATAAGTTCGAAAATGGGTGGTGAAGTCACCTACCCAAAATGGGATCCCATTGGTTTTGACCAAAAACAGGGGATCCACTACAAATAGCTTGCTTTCTTGTGGTTTGCCTTCAAAACCGGCCAAAAAGGGTCCGCCATTTTGAGAATCCTCCACATAGGTCTTCCTATAGACCCCTAGAAAGCTAGATAGTAGAACCACCTTCTGGAAAATTGCCAAAGGCGTTGGTCGCTGGAAGAGTGCCTAGACCCAGGATTGGAGGATCTTCTCCTACATTGGAGTTTCGCGTCTTCCGAGACAGGGATGTCTATCAGGGAGATGACACGCCACCAACAGACGTTTTGCCTACATAGACAAGGACAAATACGCAAGTTGGCCAGCAACCTGAAAGCACAAGGCATGCAGGCCCTGCTCCTGTTGAGTCAGCGCCTTCTGTTTTCCACGTGATATTGCAGTTCAGCCTTGTGGTCTAATATGCTGCCTGGGAATCCTCATCATTGTCTAAAATTGCTCTTGAGCCGTCCACGACCAAGCAACCCCAATCCAGCGAATCAATCCTTTCACCATGGCAGATTTGATGTGTCAAAAAACCTTAAACGACCCAAAAAGCAAGGGCTTCTTCTCTGGCTTCTCTTGAAACCAACCTGCAAAGGGGCGCGCCGAAAAACCGCCACACACGCGTCATCTCGCGGCGAAGCGCCTCCTGTGAGCCCACCCCCAAGTCTCTCAGATCAGACGTAGACAAAGCAGAGGTCTGCGTGTCCTGCGCGCGAAAACTCCGGTGACCCGAACTTGCGGTCAAGTACATCTGTCGCGGTGCCAGACTTGCGGGGGTCTGTCTTTGCTGCATCTATCCTTTTTGGTGGGGGCAGACTTTAAAATTCGGTGCTAGGTGGGTGGGTCTTTTGTCTGCGGTTGGAGACCCCAAACAGTTGAGGACTGACGAGCACAAACATGCCAACAGCTTGTGGCTTTGTGCGCTTCAACACGGACACACACATGTGTGTGTGTGTGTGTGTGTGTGTGTGTGTGTGTGTGTGTGTGTGTGTGTGTGTGTGTGTGTGTGTGTGTGTGTGTGTGTGTGTGTGTGTGTGTGTGTGTGTGTGTGTGTGTGTGTGTGTGTGTGTGTGTGTGTGTGTGTGTGTGTGTGTGTGTGTGTGTGTGTGTGTGTGTGTGTGTGTGTGTGTGTGTGTGTGTGTGTGTGTGTGTGTGTGTGTGTGTGTGTGTGTGTGTGTGTGTGTGTGTGTGTGTGTGTGTGTGTGTGTGTGTGTGTGTGTGTGTGTGTGTGTGTGTGTGTGTGTGTGTGTGTGTGTGTGTGTGTGTGTGGGCGCTGTGGGTGTCATGTGTGTGGCTGTGCTTGTGTGCTATGTGTGTGTGTGCTATGCTATATGCTAGGCAATGCTATGTTGTGTTGTGTGGTTTAGGTTATAGGTACAGAGCACACAGAAGTTACAGAGTATTACAGGTTATACAGCAGGCAGAGGCCAGAGGCCAGCGAGGCCAAGAGGCCAAGGCTATAGCTATGGAAAGGGAAAGGTAGGGCAGCAGGCAGGTAAGGTGAAGGGGGTAAAGGGCAGGCAAGTAAAGGCAGGCGCGTCGGTGCATGAAAGGCAGGCGCAGGGGCATCAGGCAGTGTTGCAGGCAAGTAGTAAGGCAGGGGCGGCAGGCAAGAAGGCAGGGCAGATGAGAACACAAGGCAGCAGGTGGAGTACAGCAGGCCAGGAAGGCAGGGCAAGAAGGGGCAGAAAGGGTGAAAAGGTGCAGGACATCCGCAGAAGGCAAAGGGGCAGGCACAGGGCAGGCAGGGCAGAAGCCAGGGCGTGGTGTGGGTGTGGTGTGGAAGATGGGGTGCGGGTGTGGGTGTGGGTGGGTGGGTGTGGGTGTGTGTGTGTGTGTGTACATGTGAGAAACACACACATGGCCATCGCAGACAGAGCGACCCGTGAACACACACACACACATCCATCTGCGGCACGCACGCGTGTGTTGAGCTGGAAAAACGTGTGTTTGTAACACACACACACACAGCATGTGTGTACACCTGGAACAACATACGTATTTTTTATTTTTCACAAATTTTGTCTGCCACGAAATGTCCCTAAAACCTCTATTTAGGGCTTTGAGACGTTATTACAGAGCCAAGGCCCGGGCGCACGGCCTGTGCGCTTCATGCCTCTCTACGCCCGCTTCTCTCGCACCCTCCGCGCTCTACGCCTACGCTCCCCACGCCCGCCCTACGCCCACGCCTACCCCACGCACACGCAGCTTCTACGCCGCTTCTACGCTCTACGCGAGATGCAGAACGGAGAGCCGTGACAGACATTCCGGCTGGGAGACAATTAAAGAAAAAAACTGAAGGGAGACAAAGGAAAGGGAGACAAATGAACCTGTCCACCCAGAGAGCCGTGCCAGACAACGGGAGACAAATGAAGTAAGAGAAAGGGAGACAAATGAACCCGTCCACCCAGAGGAGACAAATGAAGGGAGAGAAAGGGAGACAAATGAACCCGTCCAGCCAGAGAGCCGTGCCAGGCATCCAGGTTGGGAGACAACGGGAGACAAATGAAGGGAGACAAAGGGAGACAAGTGAACCCGTCCATGGCTTGGCAATAGGCGAGTCACTTTAAATGAATTTAAAACCCCCTCAGTAAACTGTTTGGGGAAAAAAGAAATGCACAGAGCCTCAAAAAACCCAGACAAGGCTGTTTTTCCCAGTGGCCCCGGGCCCTTTTTTGATCGCCCTTCCGAGCTCCGAATCATTCGCCGGCCTGGGGCTCTCAGAGCCGGCCGGGGGGGGGGGGAGGGGAACTCACGACTGGGGGTCCATCGCTTTCCGCGTCCAAGAACCGCCCAGTTTGGACCTGGAAACGAAAGGCACTCGCCTTGCGCCTCTACCAGGTGAAAACCAAGAGATCAAAAGCTCGGCTTTGAACCACGGAGGGTGGAAACCAGGCGCTGCCCCGACCAAAACATGAGCCCATCCACCCAGTTCGATGAGAAGCCTTCGGTATGGGAACCCGACATGCGCCATGCGCCTTTGCATACGGACCAGACATCAGAACTCGATGGGAAGATCCAACCCGGCAAATCTCCAGAGAAGGCTTCAAAGGTCCAACTGCTGAGACGGCTCCAACTCAATTTAAACTTTAAAACAAAAAAAGAAAGCCGCCCCCTTCGCCTCGGTCAAAGCGAAGGACCGCTGGTGCACCGGGCTCGCAAGGTCTTGCACCTGCGACGCGGACATCCCTCCCAAGCTCCCCTCCCGCTGGAGCAAAACAAGGCTGCTAATCCGCGTGGATTCTCAAAAATTTCACATCCTGAGGGTGGCTTTCCTTTGGCTTCCCTTGACAATCCAAAGGGTCCTTTCAAGCTGGAGGGTTTGCGGTAGCCTTATGTGCACCGACCGCGTTCTGTTGCGAATCGCCCGTGTTTTCTTTCCAGCACGCGGTTGCATTGACGAGCAACGCAAACCATTCGCAACCAGTGTCCAACGACCGCCTGGGGACCTGAAGACTTCAGGTGTACTGATCAGATCCTCCCCCCCCCCGGCGCCTCTTTCAGCACCTCCTCCAGCAAGCGGTCCTGAAACTCGCGAGTAGGGCGAGTGGGGCGTGACCCACATCCGAGCTTCTTGGGCTGAAACAAAGCTGCCAAAGTAAGAATACACAGAATGCAGCCTGGGAACATGGCGCCATCGACAATCCAAAAGTTGCCCCAAACCGAAGCCAGGCGATGGGATGTACAACCCGCGAGTTTGTCAAATATTATAGACACTACAGAAAAGGTATGCAGATCTGATTCCCCGGTAGCGATTTGAGGCGAGCGAAAACCCAGCTTGGATGGCGGACCGAAACCCGAACACCCGACCTCCGCGCGAAAAAATCGCGGATTCAGCGCCGGACGTGTTCCAGCTGCTTGTCTGGACTTCCCGGACTATCCAAACATTCCGGACTCTCTGCACGGTCCGGCCTGCGCAGCTGCCCGTGTCTCAAGACCCAAGCCCGCAAACCTCCCCCAAATCTGGGCTGCCCTCAAATCCCCCTGCGAAAAGTTTAACTTTTCGTGGGTTAAACGGAAACCCAACCACTAAACACTAAAAGCCTAAAAAGCTAAGGAACCGGATGGCTGGGAGCCACCAGAATTTGCGGGTCATGGGTTGTGGCTCTCTCTCATCGAACATGCCTAAAGGGGTCCATACAACCAAAGTGCCTACCAAGCGGACCGACCAAAACTCCCCCGCTCGGTGCCTTCTGCGCCTAAGGGGTCCTTTTCAGCGCCCGAAAGCTTCTCAGCCCGTCTCGCCGCAGAGCTCAAGTCTCCAGCTCCGGACAACCCCACGACGCAGCGACTGGCGGCATCCTGTGCAACAGTTGTTCTGGCTCGAAATGCCCAGCTCAAGGGATGTCAAGGAATGTCAAGTTCAAAGTCGGCGTGTTGCGTTCCCACCTTTTTGAGCGTACCCCCAAAACCATCCAATCGAAGCTCCAACTTTTGGTGGACGCCCCTCCGGCCTTGGAGTGTTTGTCAAGGCGTCCGGTTCGGTCTGTGCCACCTGAGAGCTGTTCGGCGCGCGAAAGGGGAATGCGCAAAGAGAGGGAATTGTCCAAATGATGACGTTGTACTCATGACATCAATGGGGCCCCTTTTTTTTGTTGGGCCCGGTCGATTTGCAGGGCGGCGAAGGTATCCTGCGGCTGCCCTTTCAAACGAACTCCCGAAGAAGGACGCACGAACCATGGTCACTGGGCTGTCTGAAGACAATGGCTTGTCTTAGTACTTGTTCTTGTTATGTCTATTCATGGTTCCAAAAAGTTGACATGCCTTTTGGGTCCTTAGGGCAAGCGGGAAGCGTCGCTAAGGAAAAAGCAGGAAAGCAGACAAAGCGTATGTCTCAAAATAGGGGAGATCCAATCATGTCGTGGTTTTCCTCTTGCTTTCCCTTAAAAGACACCAAAGAAAGGGTACCCGCAAAATACACCACTCCCACATAGAAGGCAAGGCTGCAGCATCAACATGCTGAAATGGTGGACCAAGCCAACAAGCTCTGAATCAGCCATTGTCCAAGCCCCAATCGGCGGAGAATGTGGGTATATGTCCAAACAGGGGGGTGTTCCTGTTGTTGTCTCTTATAACTGAGTACCTTCAACAAACACAAGCCCACGTCTCTCACCTGCCCAAAGGACCTGGAAATAAAAGGTGAACTTTGTGGAATGTTGACTAAATCTGGGTATGGCTCCAGATTGAAGAGCTGGGGTTACGCGGGTTTTAGTCTTTGGTTCCATTTACCAAGGTGCCATTTTGGTACCACTTTTTTGAGCTGCAGCCATATGGACCAAGCCGAGTTAAAAGCTTGCCTTTGTGCAAGGTTTTGATCTCTCTCGAAGTGTGCAGCCTGTTGCAAGCCGCTCGCCTGCTGCAGCAGCTGGTTGACGTGCTCATCCAGCGAGGGTCGATGAGACTCGCGGAGAGCGCTCGAGAGCGAGCAGAAGCCCTCGTTGACCAGGGGCCAACGCCCTGTAACATGTTTGAACACTTGTTGAAACATCCTCCGTTGAGTTCCCCTGTTAATGTGGCCCTTTTGGTGTGAACATTTGTTGCAACCAACCCTTCGGACCAACAAAACGTGTCAACGGCTTTCTCTACGTCCAACGCTTCCATCTCAGATCCCCACAAATGAGAGAAAGCGCGGCCGGTGAATGTGGGGCTTATGGGCTGGACGTCGGAAGAAGAAAAATAATGAGCTTCTCGCAACTCTCGCCCTGAGCTCCAACCCCACTTCTGCAAGAGACCATCCTGAAATTCAAAAAGTCCGAGAGAACTCTTGCCATAGGTGGCCTTTTGGGAAATTTTCCTGGGGTTCCCTGGAAAATGGAAGAAACCCCATCTAAACCAGCGGACCAAATTGTCTATTTTTAATCAACGATCAAAAGGACGCCTATGACTCTCCTTTTGATCAACCTCTCTCTCTGGGCTGCAGACGGCCGGCTTGCTACTCTCGCCTGGCAGTTGTGAGAATTGGGGAATTGGGGGGGTCTCTCTGCCAAACATCGGGGGAATCGGAAAAGAGAGAAAGGCCCGAACAATGGCCAGGTGGTGCTTTTGATATTTCCCTTCAAAGCAAACCCGAAACAGCAACTACCGTCACAAAAAGGCACTTTGGGGGATGCCGAGGCGTCAAATGCGTTTGGCATTTGGGGGTTGAAGAGGGCATACGGAGTGTGTTCAAATAAGGGACCCCCAAAATGGCTCTTCCTTCGGTGTCCCAAAAAGAACACACCCAAAACGGGTACCCACCAAACAAAAAAAACAATTTCAATGCGGAGGCAGCGGGCGCCTGCAGGACACACAGAGACCACTGGATCAGGTGCAACAGAGTGCTCCTGCCGGAAGATCGGCTTCGGACCGATTGGTGGTTTGGAGCCGAATCTCGATTGCGTTCTGCTCCCCTGCTAAAAGCTGCTAAGTTTTAGTGGTTTAATTCGGAACACCCATTAGTGGGCGAAAAGTTAGTCAGTCCTAACATCCCTTGGCAAAATGCACCAAAGGAATCGTTGCTTTGGTGGTGGAGAGCTTCCCTTCGACCCTGCCACCAACCTTGGGGTTCCCACGGAAGATTTTTGACATCCCCGGGAACTCCAAGTTGAATCATCCAACACCACCTACGGTGGATGGACGAAATCCATTTTGCACCACTTTGAAACCATGGGAAACTACTGCTTGCTGGTATTTTCACAGGGGAATCGAATCATTGCAGGGTTGCTTAGGTGGTGCAGGATTTCGTCCACCCACAGTATCATTCCAACCCTAAGGAAATTCCTGACCAAGCCCCCAATCGTCTGGCCTTGTCGTGCAAGCTGAGAAATGGCAACTTCAAACCCTGCACCACCTAAGAAACCCTGGAATGATGATTCCCGACAAATACCAACAAAGAATGGTGTCCCGCGGTTTCAAAGTGGTGTAGGATTCCGTCCATCCACAGCAGCTTAGTCGTTGATCCCTTGCGAAATGGCATGAATCCCTCCAAACTCCAAACTTTGAAAAGCCTAAGGGTATCCAAGATGCACGGATGAGGCAGGAAAAAACGGGAGCAAGCGCCAGACCGGCAACGCATGCACAAAAACAATCCTCGAAGTCAGGCAGAAAGCGACAGTCATCAAAAGTCCTCATCCACCTCGTCGACATCTTGAACATCCTGAAGGTTGCAAGAAGTATCCTTGCAGAGAATACTAGAGTTATAGAAATGTCCCAAGTTTCCAGAAACTGCGAACTTCTCCTCAGCTGAAAAATCTCGAATGCCCCAAGAGCACAATTCTGGGGTTGGATGTCTGCATGCGAACGAGAGCAAAGCATTTGCTGAGCCAAGCTCTGATTGGTCATCGTCCCAGAGCGTGTTCAGCGTCTGATCCTCAGAAACGGTTCCGCTTTGTCTCAGAAACGGTGCCAACTCCTCTGTGGGCCATAGTCATGACGTCTGAATTCCACACAATTCCCAGTGTGCATACAATGACCCAAGGAAAAGTGGCGCTTTAGACCATGGCGAAGGTCAATATTACTGTGTGTCTCTCAAAGGGGCAACATGTCTGAGCATGGTCTGATCAACCAACCCGCAAAGGAAGCGAACCCGATGGCCCGAAAACCCGAAAGCCATCGAAACCCGTGGGAGAAACCGCCAGATGGGTCGGTTAAGGTTGGACCTCCCAAAATGGCACAACGGCGTTCGTTTGGTTTTCCTTTAAAACTGATCCAAAAAAGGGGGTACCCTCCAGAAAGACACACCCCAAACCGGTGGTTTTGTTGTTGGTGTCCTTGCAAAACCACCAAAAAAGGGGTACGCACCCAAAAATGCCCCAACATGGTGGTTTTCCTGTTGGCGTCCATGTAAAACCATCACTTGTGAAGGGGGCAAAAAAGAACGAATCGACACCCGCCAAAAAAAAAAACAGGCCCCCACCCGCCACCCACCCTGCGGATGCGGATTTTTCAGATCACTCGGCTCCCCGGCCCAGGTGCGGCCCAGCTCTTTGACCTGCAAGTTACTCAACCGACGACGAAGGGGACGCCCCCAAAATGGGCGTCGGTCGTCCTTGTAACCGATTTGAATATGGGGGGTGGCCCTGGTTTTAGTGAGGGATTCGGAAACCACTTTTGGAGGGAACACGCCCATATTCATCAACAAATCCTCAGTCAACATTTTGTGAAACACTCTCTGGAAAATGCTCCCCCATCTTCAAGGGACGGATTGATGGCCGCCCCTCTAAGGTCATGATTTTGTTTGCCTCGCTACTGCCACTGTGGGAAACTGGGTTGTGGAAGGTTATTACCCTTACTTAAAGGGGCGATCGGCTAATTAGTAAGTAGTTTGTAAGCCTGGTGCAATAACCCACAAAAGCCATGGTTTACAAGTCTCCCTAAGTGGGTTATAACTGACCACTTACCCTTGTAGACAAGTACAACGGTGACTTGTTTTGTGTGGCTTCCCTTTCAACCAGCCCCGAAAAGGGTAACCTTGAAAAAAATGACAGACCCAATTGGGCGTGTATCAAGTGCGATTTACCCACAACCCACAACCAACCAGCCAACAACAAAGAAGAACAAGAAGAACAAGAAGAACAAGAA